ATTTATTTCAGATATTCTGAGATTTTTAAAAAACGATCTCATGTAAGAAAACTCATCCATAGGACATTGAAGATTTTTTTGATTCGATGTTTTGACTTTTCAAACATTTATCACAGGCGACGAAGTAAAGTAAAGTTTTTTTCATTTTAGCCAGATTACTATTTGATGCCCTTTCTGGAGATTTTTTTGTTTCTCGTTTTTTTTAACCAAGAAGAGATTTCGAGTTTTGAATGAAAACTTGAAAGATTTTAAAAACTCAATGTTCACTTGCTACAAGCTATCATAACTTATTTATCGAATTGTTATGATCTTAATACCTTATTATAGATACAAAGACTTACAGCTATCGCTCCAACTGCGAATAACGTTTTCTGAAAAAATTCATTCAAAAGTTAAATTTACTCTTGAAAGATTCAGTTGAAAAATATGTATCGCAGTCGCATGGAATACTTTTCTGTACAAAAAATTCATCGTGGTTATTAGTACATCACTCAACGAAATGTCATTTTTTAAAATCAATTTACTTTTTAGTCCCCTTTACGATGACAGTATGTGAAGCACTTCTTCGCGTCTATCGCCTGGCAATTAAATTTGAAATAAAATTTTAAATTTAAATTCACGTTTTTTTCTCAAGTCAAAGTGATTTTTTTTCAAATTTTTGTCCAGGAAATGTCCAGTATTACCCTTCTTTCAATATTCAAATTTTTATAACTCGTTGACAAAATTTTCGTCAAATACCATAACGGTGCTTTCCGTCCTTACCAATCTGGTCGCCCAATAACCGTTGAACAATTTGCACGAAACATAATTCCCCAAATAATGCAAAAAGCGTTCAGCTGGTGAGAAACCGAAAGTCGGATATAATGGTTCTCCTAAAAACTTATCAGTCGAGATCTGATAGCAATAAAAACGTCCCTGAAGTTATTTATTTTAATTTAGTTTTTCTTTGTCGTTTTCCATTTAGGACTGGAAGCAGAGTTTTTGAATAAGATTTAAGTCTCTCAATGAATGACCTGAAGAAATTATCGCTCAGGTCACCTTTTCGTGTTCGACGGCCTTTATACTAGTCAAAATTACGATTCAGTATTGATTGTCATCAGGTTAACGGGGATTATACTTTGGATTAAAAATACAATCTACTCGGAAAAAATGAAGAAAATTTTCGATTTAATAGAAAATTTAGAATCTGAATTAACTATTGACAATTGTGTGATAACCAACTTAACGTTTACTCGATTACCAGTGATAAATCGTGTTTTAATGAAAGTATCATTAAAGTGCTCATCGGTAATAAAAGTTGGGAAACTCACCAGCAATATAATGGAAAAGAAAGATTTCTGAATCTCTTTACATTTCAATATAAAGTATCGTCAACTATTTGAGTTTTAAACGAAATATTTATTAGCAATTATAATAGCAATTTAAAACTTCTCCAGAGTTATCGACAAACAGTCTTTCAATTGCAAATTTCAGTCCATATGCCGTCTAACAGTCATTTTAAAACAATTGGGTTTCATGATCGAAAATTAAAACTATTCATCTACCGAGTAAAGAAACCGAATGGTGACTTTATTAGGAGAAAAAACATGGAGAATCACATAAGTACTTGGAAAAACTGAATAGTGTGTAAAGCACATTGGCATGAATATGAAAATCGTGAAAATGCGACTTTTGATATTGTTTTAGAAAGTGTTTCTTGATTGTTAAGAGTCACAACAAACACTGTTTCACATTTGAACATTGAAATTAAAATCTGGAACCCAAAGTGGATAAATGATCGTCTGAATAAGACTACCAGGTCACATCCTGTTAATCAGCGATGAAACGTGACCCGGAAAAAAGGTCAAATCTTTTGTAATTTACCAACATTTAATTAAATGTTGCGGTAACAACGAAATGCTTGTAACTGAAAAAAACTTTACCGTGAAGTCTAAAATAATATTTTAACTGAATCTTTTTTTCTGAGAATTTTTTTTTCGCTTTCAACTCATGACTTGAACATTTGAAAAAGGATTTTTAATCGAGTTTTTAAAACCTCAAAAGATAAAATAATAAAATAAACGTTTCTGATGCAAGCAAACTCGCGCAATCTTGAACACATTCTTACCTGCACAGATGTATTAATACTATCATTGGTGGTGAGAAACAGTAAACTGATTCATAATATCGATTGCCGATTTAGCTCATTTACTGCGAATAACCTCGTCTTTAAAGCAGGCTAAGCAGACAGAGCTTCACGCAACTTTTTAAAATAAAATGGGCAAAAATTAATTTAAAACAAGCGATGTTTTAACTCAAAGAGCTGCGTTATGAAATAAACCGACATTCGATAAGGCAAATGTAATCTTTTGTTGGGCAAAATGATCTATTTAACAGGTTAACCTTGATGTTTCTATAGGAGTAGCTTAACCCCTTCATATTATTCATTCGTATTAATAAATTGATTATTCCAATTGTACTGAACTTTTGGCTCAAGTGTTTAGAGTAACAATGTTCCGATACTTTATTCAGATTCAGATTTGCCTATTAAGTGCAACCAAGAACATCACTTAATTTGACGAAAACGAAAAGACAAAAATTTAAAAATTTAAAAGACGTTTGGGTTTCAATAAGCTGTTTTCAGTAACATGAATTTTGCATCTGAAATCAATTTTTATTTAAGTTTTAAATTCGAGACAACTTAAAGTCCATTTAATATCTGGCTGACTAGGAGATCCTGAAAATTAAAATTTCAAGTTCTCCAAAGTACTGTTTCATACCAACAAAAAATGAAAATAAAATTAAAATTGTTACCGTTGAATGGAGTTTAAATATGTAGTTGTCGATTTATTTAAGTTTTAAATTCGAGACAATTTGAAGTCTATTCTGGCTGACTAGGAGATCCAGAAAATTAAATTTTAAATTTTTCAGTGAAATTTAATGTGTCGATTTAAGATGGTTTTTGGCTTGATTTGATTTAAATTTTTGACAAAATATTTGAGGTTCCAGATTATCTTGATGAAAATCGCAATTTTTGAAATTGATTTAGCTTTGAATGCTTTCAGACTTTAGGCAAACTCGTGAAGTCTTATGGAAAAGAAGAGACTCAGGTAGACTACAAGATCTAATCGATAAAATCAAAGATCGACACATTCTACAGTAACAGGGTCTAGATAGATTCCAAGTAGTCCAACTTTAGATGTGATGCTGATTGCTAACGAGTTTTTTAGCTGAATTTTTTTCTCCGAAATTCTCTACTTTTTACATCTCGTTTTGGAAATATTTTTCCTAAATGCATTTCTTGGTGAAAATTTTTTATATCTTGGCATAACATGGTTTCAATATATCAACTATGGTAATTTTACGTTCGATCCATCGAACCATAAGGTTTAGGTTTGGTCTGATAGATAGCAGCTTTGTTGCTGTTAAAGGTTTTAAATGGAGACTCGAAAGCCTTTTTACTTGCTTTTGGTTAACATTCAATGTGTCAAGATATTTATTTTTATTTTTATTTTTCACTCGCTTGTGTTCAATGTGATGATATTATGTGTCAATGAGAGAATCCATTTCACCAAGTTTCCATTCTTAATCAAAGTTCAACCCTTTTCTTTATCATTAATTGTTCATTTTTTTCCTCTACATCTAATTGTCACTTCACGATGAACCTTTAATCACAATTTTGGTAAGTTTCATGTTTATCATTAAATGTAAATTGTCATTTACTTCAATTTTTACACACTTTTCAGAGTAATTTCACTCCCTGTCAGGTTGTTGTTCAGTTGAAATTTTCAAGTTTTCATGGATTATTTTTGCTCAAGGTTAATCAATTAGTTGATTTGAAATGGGCATTTATTCAGATTTAATTTAGATTTATTTACATTGTTAAGACTTGGTTAGATTTTCATTTTTTTCGTGTTTTTCTGAAATTTCTGATTCGATAAGTTGATGGGATTTTGAGTGTTTTTTTAGACTAAGGTTGAAAGGTTGTGCTTTTAAAATGCTAGTCGAGTTTACGATTTGTGTGTTTGACCGAATGTTTGCCAACGGACTTTTTTCCGTTCTATTTCGGTTGGAAAAGAGAGTTCGAACAAAAAAATGAATCCAATTGTTGATTGTGAGGTTGAATTAAGATTAATAGTGAATGCATTGATATATAATAAAATGTATGATAACTGGAAATTGTTGAGGGAATAATAAAAGATGTTGGCGACAAAATAGCGAAAGGTTGAGAAGGAAAGAGGAAAATATCGATCGATTATCGTGAATGGAAGAGGCAAGAGAAGAAAAGAAAGAAAAGAGAGAGAAAAAAATATACATTGAAGGTTAACTTGAAGAAAGAAGATGAAGAGAGAGAGAGAGAGAAATGGGGAAAAATGAAGTGACAGGAAGAAAGCAGAAAGATGATGCAGAAAGGCAGATGGAAACGGGCAAAGGGTCGCACTCAGTTCGGAGGGACAATAAAGAGAGGTTAGAGAGAAATCGAATGATAAGACAGAAGAAGAAGAAGAAAGAAAGAGAAGATAAAGTGTTTGTAAAAGTGAGACTAGGAAGAGATGAGAGAGAGGCAGATGTAAACGGGCAAAGGGTCACACAGTCTCCGAGGGACCAAATCGAGCGAAGAAAGAGAGAGAGAGAGAGAAGTGGTTATGATGATGAAAGTGAGAGACGAGTCTGACAACATGGCGCCCAATGAGAGTGAAGGAAACCGTTGATGAAATGGCGTGTGCCTTGCGTAAAAAAATATTGTTGAGCGTACGCGAAGCATTATCAATGATGTTTTATCAAAAATACCCAACCTTTTCTCTCTCTTTTCTTTCTCTTCTTTTCTCACTCTTTTCTCCATCTTCATCATCATCTCTCTCTCTCTCTCATTTAACTCCCTGTTCGGTTGATCCCTTGGCTTTCTCTAGTCAGTTACTGTCTGTCAGTCATTGATTTTATTTCAACTCAACATTTACTCGATATCTACATGACACTAGAATATCATATCTTCATCTTTTCCATTTGTTTTTTTCTTCTCCTTCAATATTTTCATTCCAAGTTTTGATTCAATGTAATTTACGTCTTTCTTTTCCTTCTTTAGAGTTTTTATTGCCAATTCATTTGATATAACCAGTGAATAACCAGAACTTTAATGTTGACTCGAGTGTTGTTTTCCTTGATCCCAGTGTCTTTTTTTTCCTCTTGTTAAGTGACTTTCAATTTTTCCAAATAAAATTTCACTCTATATATAAAAACATGATTTCCTCCCTGTTGAAAGCCTTATGAAAAACTTCAAATGTCATGTTATTGTCATTGCCATACTCTCCGTGTTCACTGTGTATGTCTTGATGTTTCCTTTGATTATCATAAGGCACGCGGTGAATGCCAAGAGTTGTGGTTATCTTATTGATATGGACATGAACCAACAGGCGCTCAACATCTTACCACCATCCAAGCATCAAGACCAAGCGTTAACCAAAAAAGTACCAGAAACCAAAGTCTAAGTATTGAACGAAACAAGAGAAAAATGATGAGAAAACGGAAAAGGATGATTAGATGAGAAAAGGTAAAATCTGTTTTAATGATAAACAGGATGAAAGTGCCCGTAAGGATGCTTCACTGTAATGCTTCGCAATAAGCTGAAGCCTTAGGAAAAAGATGAGGATGAAGATGGTAAGAAGAGAAAGAGAGAGAAAAAAAGAGAGAAAAAAAGATTACCTTCATCTTGATCGTCTTTCCGTTTTTTTATCCTTCGCTTTTCCGTCTTATTTTTTGGTCTTTTTTTCTCCACTGCGCTTTTCATCAGATCTTCATCCAAAATGATCGCCATCTTCCTCCTCTTTTCCAGTAATTATTATCCAATTGTATTGTTCCCTTTCCGTTTCTTCTTAGTACCTTCTGTCTTCCTTCGTCTTTTCCTTCTCTCTCCCCTAGACTCTCTCATCTTCCCTCTCTATCATCTTTTGTTGCTCTTCATTGTTACCCTTGATCCCTTATGTTTACCTTTTATCCGCACATTTGGCCTCTTTTAGCGCTCGGAAGCGCAGCCAAATTATTCAGCGAAACAAAAGGCAAGATATAAAAAAAACAAAACTGTCGATTGTTAGTTTAAGACTCGACTCGACCTGGATACTCTCCGTGTTCACTGTTTGCCTTCATGTAGAGCTTTGATTTATCATAAGGCACGCGGTGAATGCCAAGAGTTTGTGGTACTGACCAGCTAAAGACAGTTAACGCAATTGCCGCACAAGTGAGCAATTGTCCAACCGTGAGTATCAGACCATTTACCTTTACAGATACAATTCAAACTTCATCTGTCAACTGACTTGACTTTTGGGTTTGATCATTTTCAAAACATTCACTTTTCGACAGCAAATTTTCATTTATAAAGTTGATTCACTTTTTTTTTCTCACATCATAATTTTGAGTCAACATTTGGCCCTTTTGTGATCACTCGATTCTCATAGGAATATTGCTCATTATCATTATGAAACTGGCCTCCAATTTTTTTTGTATTATGATTAACTTTCTTATCATTCTTGTATCCATAGTAATGAGTTTCAATTGCAACCTTACAATTGTTGTTAACCTACAAAAAAAAATCTATGGAATCGGTGATTACACTTTTACTCACGTTGTCAGCTTGAACCTTTCAATTTTTGGATTTCCAATGAAACTAGAGAGAAATGAAAATGTTGAAAATGCAACAATTAAATATCAACAAGTATTTCAACTTATATATTCAATTGTTCAAATTATTTAAGCTATTATTTGGGTTGCAGATGAAAGATGAAGGCAACTAATTATCTGAAACATTATATCATTAGTTTCAATAATGATCTGTATCTGTGAACATACAAGACTACCTTTTGGTTAACATGTTTGTCTGCAAATTAATCAATACAATTCACGACATTTTATAATCAATGGTCAACACAAACAATTCTTATAATTCAATTCTAATATCAATCAGTCCGCAAAAAAACATGAGCGCATTTTCACTCTGTGTGTCTATTTTACTCTATAGCTGTCTATTTGTGTCTATTTTCATCTACTGTTGGCTGATTTGGTTTACAATTTTGGGTTTACTCAAGATTGTTTGATGAGTGCAAAACCTTTTTTCGTGATTAATCAGACAAAATGAAAACGCTACAAATGATTAATTAGAAGAGAGTAAGGAGAATAGCTTTAAGCAAAAATTAATAAAAAAAAAGGTAGAAATAATGTTCACCTAAAAAAATAGACAGACAGGGAAAGAGAGAAAGAGAAAGTTGATTATTATTAGTATAATTAAATAGTGAGGGAGAAAACTTAATGCATTATAATGTGCAATTAACTTACAATCAAAGGAAAGTTAAAGTGAAAAGACTAAAGCTCGAAGAGGATTTATATTGTACATAAATAAGTACTGCTTTTTATACTATTCAAATGGCTGACTGTATCTATCAAGGTCTGTCTTTATCGTCTCCTCTGTCTATACCGGTTTTGTGATACTTTCAACGGTCCAAAAGATTCTCTTTCTTTCTCTATTTTCTGTATTAGTTTTTACTGTTCTTTCACACAGAATTTTAATATCACTCCCAATCCTCTCTACATATATATATATGAATAATGTTAACCATTATTACTAATATATATGTGATCAGAAAGGCAAGGTTGATATTATTTTTACATTAACCTTAAGAAGTAAAAATGAATGCTTTTACAATATAAAAGCTGTAGTGTGTCTTCATTGAGAGTAAAGAGAGTCTAACAACTATAGCTAATTGATAAACAGTTACGATCGATAATTGGAAGAAAAGGTAAGGTTAAGGAAAGAGAGAAGATTCATCAAAATAAACGATGAAAGATAATGTATCAATGATTGAGTATTAAGCCTTAGAAGCCATCTTTTTTCTCCTTTTCCTCATTAATTCACAGATGATCCCTTGAAAGATTAAGATTGGTGATTGATTTGTAATTGGTGGTCATCACGAGTCCAAAAATTCTTTATCCTTAGGTTACTTTTATTTCAACTGAGACCAGATTGTTTGAAATATAATTATCAAAACCAAATCACTATTCCACTCGAGGTGAACCTATGGTAAGAGTCCAGCTGTTTGGGTATTTTAACAAAAGAAATCAAAATGAGATTTGGTTGGTAAGTTAATGGCACAAAACTGTGGACTTACCTAATTAAACTTGACCCATGCCATTAATGAACCCATGGTTTAAAAGGTAGCAAAAATAGCGTCCATATAGCGTTCACATAATTATTCAAATTCACACCAAGCTAAAAATAGTCAATCAAAGCTGGTTAGATCATAAGGTAAAGACACAATACAAAGGCAAACTTACATCAGTACAATTTACAGAGCAAAACGCAACCCCAGCTGGTTATAAACCCATTGATAACAAAGAAAAGGTCAAATAAACATCTAAAAGTGAAAATGAAATAACCAAGTAAATCATTGAATCAATCAAAAAAATGGTTAATTCAAAAATTAATCTTACCAGAAAATTTTGCAACAAAATCGCCATTCAACCCAAAAAGTTACAACCGCCATCTAACGGTACAAACATTAAACATTCTCTGCACTGTTAATGGAAAAGTTAATTCACTATTAAAATGATTAACAATTTTTAAAGGCAATTAAACATGAAACAATCAAACAATAGTCGAGTCCAATCTTAATAAGTCGAAATTTGAAAGTCAAATATTAACTGTAAATTTTCCGAATCATTTTTCAAGCTCAAAATTGCAAGCTTTGATCAAGTGAAGCTGAAAACAGTTAACAGATTTAGCCTTTTAAAATTAACCAACCAAATTAAACGGTGAACTTTACAATTAATGTTGAATGGAATGTAAAAGATAAAAAAAAGAGTCAAAAGGGTTGAGTTGTCCATTAAAGTTAGCAAATGAATTTGGATATTAAAATGAAGTGAAGAATGAAAAAAATGGCAAATTAATTAAAATGAAGTCACAATTTGCCAGGTTTGATAAAAATGGTTGCATTAAATTGCTGATTCAAAACTGGTAAAATGATGAAGTAAATTAGCTGATGAAAGCTGACCAAGAGTCAACAAATTGACTGGCAATTTGTGCTTCAAATTAGGTTCGAGGTTTGATTTTGTTTTTCAAGCGACAACAAATTTTGATTATTAATCTGATCATCAGGAATCAATGGTGTCCATCAATTGGTCACCTCATGTAGAGTCGCACATGATTGATGAGATAAACTCCAACCGAGCTTTGAATAAAGTTTACTCAAGTAAACCATTTTTTTGATTCCTTTACCGATTGTCACAATTAATAGACATGTTTGATGTTTGTTGATGTTTCACTCAACCTTTCAAAGCAACAATTTTTGAAATATAAACTTTAATTAATTTTCTTAATTTAATCAAATCTAATAACTTGTTTATTTACCTTTAATTTAATTTACCTTCACTTTTATATCTTGTCAACTCAACATTCATTTGTTTACCTTTTCACTATAATTGCAGATTCATTAAGGCAATGTTTACTCTCGTTGAAAGATGTTTGGCAAAAAATGTTAAATTGTTGAGGCTTGATTGCTCCAAGAAAATTAAACACAACTTTGATTAAACCTTATTGAAACATTAATATTTAAGTGTGTAATTAATATTCATTATTTGGTGCAATTTACCAATCTTTACATTTCTGGCAACTCTGAGATGAACAAAGGTTTTGTGTGTAAATTGTCCGTTTGTTAAGGCTCAGATCATCTGGCTAGTTGGCATTATTATTGTTGAAGTTGGTAAAATGTAAAACATGGTTAAGTTGATAATAGTTATTGTTGAGCGCAAATTAGCCACCCTTGGCTTAAGGCTTTCCAGGACAGCTTTCCGACTCGAGCCAGGAATCGTATTAACAGACTATTTTGCATTGCTATTGTAACGCGAAACTGATACAATCTGATAAAAAAATGGAGGGGACAAACATTTTGGGTTAACTTTACCAAAGAGTATTGTTGGTTACAAGCCTTTTGATAGACCAAAGCTGTCTCCAGCAAAATGATGATTAATGTGAATAATAAATTTGATTTCATTCTAATATTAGTCCCACTTGCACAGCCTTGTAAGATTGCCGTTAACCTGAACCGTTAAATTTACAAAAAGTGTCTCTTCAAACCAAATGCTGCAAGTTGAGTTATGAAAAAGCCTCATTGGTCTCATCTGCATAGCTACTGTTTCTGGTAACTTTAAGACTCGACATTCACCGATTATCATTAATTTTGCTTTTCATTATAAAATGAATTTTATTATCAACATTAATATTGTAAAATCTTTGATCTCAGATCTGTGCGAAGGGCTAAACGAAGATGAAGATCACTTAAGCTGCAAGTCTAGCGATCGATGGATGGAATGATTTGAAATGTGTTTTTATAAAATCATTTGATTTCTTTTGGGTAACAAAACCTTGAAAATTTGAAGCTCTAAATGTAACTGATGAATGAGATTAAATTTGACAAATTTTACTCAAACACCGTCATTAGACTAATGAACAACTCTGAAACTGATGAGTTAACGTTTTCTCGACTCATCAGTTTACATTATTAAGTGATTGTTGATAAACTAAAATATTGATCATGAAAATGATCATTTCTTTTGACTGCAAGTTAACATTTGAAAGCATTTCGTTAAAAACGGACATTTATTGAACAAAGCCATTTGAACAATAATAATGAGCCAAAAAACGCATAAAAGGTGATTTGATTTTCGGAATGAATAGCAAAAGCAAAAAGAAAAAAGAATAATAAAAGAAGAAGAAAAACTGGTTTTAATAAAGTGGATCCAATAGTGGATTGAGATTGACACAGATTTTGGGGTGAAAAATGTTGCTTTTGTTATCATGAAAACATTGAAAGATGTTGAAAGGTACACACAGATCTTGGTCTCTCAATGTGATATATACTTTGGTATGTTTGTTAATATGATCATCTTTTATTGCGTGTTAGCTCTCTGTTTATGCTTGTCCTTACCATTCATTTCAGTATAAACTGATCATCATTAAACCATGATTAAACTGAATACAAGCCTTCCCCAACCTCCATCGTCTTTTTTACTCATCTTTCACCAAAATCTTTTCTCCTCCTTCTTCTCCATCCTCATCCAGCTCATTATCATTCTCATCCATCTCCATCACCAATCCAAAGGATCCATTTTAGTAGATGGCAGTAGCTATTGACTGATGAACAAATATAGGCATTCCATATAGGCTGTGTACCAGTTCAACAAGAAAAGGTATTTCAATCATCATCATCATCTCTCCACCAGAATCATCATCATCTTTCCTCTGCCTATTCCATGTAATACTTTGCTCCAGTTTTCTGTCTTTTAACTGTCTTCTTGTTCTTCATCTTTTTTTATCGCTTTCAAAAAAGATTTCTCTCTTCTTCATCTTCCCAGAAGAGCTTTTTTCATCATCATCATCTCGCCATCATCCAAATTCAAACATTCATCTGATGCTTTGTAAATTTACTTACCTTAGCTTTTCCCTTCTCTCGACCAACTCAATCCAATGTAATCCACATTACACTCCAATTGATAGCAAACAATTGTTATCACAAAACTCCTTTTTGACCTCGATACTTTCATCTCCATCCTCATCATCTTATTATCAATATTAATAATAATATTATTGTCTTTACTTTCTTTTGCTTCTTCTTCTTCTTCTTCTTTCCTTTGTCAAGATTTGTTACCTTCAACTTGAATATGTTTTTTTTGGCACAACATTCATCTTCAACTCCGTGACTTGATCTTTTAATAAACTGATAAATTCTGTAGAGTTTTGTTTCCATCATGAAATTAAAACGTTACAGATTTTATCGCCATTCATCTTGTTTTTTCTCTGTCATTTTCATGGAAATTTTATTCCAACAAATGGCTTTTGTTTCATTTTACAACCTTAAAGGGAAACTTTAATCGATTTCAAAGTTTCACTTTAAGTCATTTTGATAATTTTTGTTTTCGCTGGAATATCAATTTCAGGAAAAGAAAAGATTTTTATCCTGGAAAAAAATGAGGATCAGTTGAGACTGGATTTTTTCGATAACAATTTGTTGATTCGTTTATTGAAATTGGCGCAAGATTGTTGCTAAACATATTGATGTTGGTTACTTTTGGTCAACTTTTCTGGTTCATTGCTGGATAACGTTAATAGATGGTGAAGATGATGGAAACTGTTGATGATAAAGATGATATTCTGGTAAACTGAGCATAAATTAGTCAGTTTTTGCTTCACTTGACCCTTGGTTACTGTTTGCTTTTCAAGGAAACGAATCAAATAAATAAGGATAAACAATAAATGTCCATCACAATCGCCAATATGATTAGGAGTAAGATTTGTTGTAATCAAAATGTTAACCGAGCACAAAAATGTTGATCCAATCGATTGATTGGGCTAACCATTGCTTTACCCTTTGATACTGGAAAACTATCCAAGCCTTTAATCAAAATACCTGATCAGAAATGTTCAGTTCATCAAATCGTTTTCCCTTCAAACCAAAACCCAAAAGCTTTTCTCAACTAATTACCGATTCCTTCAAAATTCAAACGTTTCTTCAAGTTGATGAGCTTCCATTTGATTAAACTGAATTCAAGACAAATGACAGAGATCGAAATTCATGGATTTCATTTTCCATGAGAATAATTATGTTACATTAAACTGCTTAAAACGCAACAATTTAGGTCAGGAATGGAATTAAAATCATTCATTCTTCAACTTGGATTCTTTCGACTTTTTTGACTCATTTTTCATCGAAAATTAGATTCAAGTTCAAAAATTCTTGCATTTGACATTCGATTAAATCAACAGTTGAAAATGATGAGCTTTCAATTTCGCTGTCTTAACTGATGACCAAATCGTCGCTTGAGAACAACAATCTTTTGAAAATTTTAGGTAAAGATCAATTCATCGAGATTGACCGTTTAGAGTCTTATGAGTAAATTGATGAAAATGCGATTCGAAGGCGAAGCAAATGAAATGATTTGAAAATTGCTTTTAAAATTGAACGTTTAATGAAAATGAAAGGCTCAAATTTTCTCATTTTGATTTTGGAAATGTTGATCAGCACTTTACAACTCTTTCATGCGAATCATTTCAAGAACATTCAAGTTCTCCTCGAAGTATTTTGAAGCCTTTTTAACAGTTTTCAGTCTAAGATAGTAATAAGGGAATCTTGATTGATGCATTTCATTTTTGCTTTTCAACCATTTATTTGTTAAACTACTCTTTCCTTGAATAGTAATAAATGTAAATAGTGAATTGAGTTTAAAATTTGTGAATAGTTTAGATTTGCTTATTAGATTGTGAAAATGAAGCAAATGTAAATGAGCAACAATAATTGGTTCAACATAATAACAATCATTAAATTGTATCTCATTTTATAATCGCATTTAAAAAGAAGGTTTCATTATAAGAATTTTTCACCAGTTTCTTTTCATGGATTACCTTTTATTCCTTCAATTCAATTTTCCTTCTTCCATTATTTTATGCCTTTCATTTGTTATCACTTTCCTTCCTCATTTACTGTTGCCATTTCAAGATATTGTTCAACAAGACGAGGGAAGAAGAAGAAAAAGATTGAAAGAATCTTCAAAATTCTGTTCAATTTCTGAAAAATTCTGACAGATAAATATTGTGTCATGAATGGTTAACCAAGCTCAACTCATCTTCAACTTTTCACCTCACTTCACTTTTGAAGCTTCAAATGCCAATTTGGTCAACAAAATTTTTCAAGAACCGTTCATGGAACAATTTACATGGAGAAGAGAAAATTTCTCTAAAAAATGTAATCAAAAACACTTTCGATTAGCATTGAAATGAAGATGAAATTTACATTCGATTTTCGGGTTTACCAGATTGAGTAAAATCTGTTGGTTCTCATCGATGATTCAGATAACATCTAATTATCAAATGAAGCTTGTGTTCAGTATCGCATTACAAATGTTGATTATTCAACATTCAAATGTTTCAAGACATTTGTGCGTTTCCTTCGTAAAGTTAACTTTATTTTTTAGGTAAATGTTCAAGAGTGGAAATAGGTTTAGATCAATCAAAAAAAAGGAAAGTTGAATGTTGAATCAGTGTTGCTGCAAGTGTTCATTAACTGGATAAAATTTTATATATTATTTGCATAGGCATGTTAAGATAAATATATGCTGTTCAGCATTGCGCCCACTCACATTACAAATGCTTTTTTTCCCATTCAATGGTAACAATGAGGGAAAGATGAAGATGAGAAAAGTGAATGTAAAGAGAGTTGAAGATGAAAGGATGAGAGAGAGGATGTTAAAGAGATGAGAATCGCATCAACTGTAAGATCTATTTAGATAAGGTAAAATAATAGTCTGGGAGTGAAAATATATTTGTATAACAGTGAAAGTGAAACAAGTATTATTATAAGAGGAAATTGAGAAAGTGTTGAACGGTAAGAGAAGATGAAAGAAGATGATTCTTTTTTCTGGTTTTCTCTTGTTTTCTTCTCTTCTTCTTCTTCTTCTCTTCATTCTTTATTCATTTAAAGTTGAACAAAATTTGGTGATAATTAATTGGAAATGATTGGATTGAGTTGAGAAGTAGTTTCTGGTATTTTCAATTGGATATCCTATTAGGTGCACTTGTTTGTCTGACAAAATCAGGAATACTTTTTTCTTCTTCTCCTTGTATAATGTAATATTGAGTGAATGGTTAGATGAAGAGAAGAAGAAGGAAAAAAGTCGAAAGGAAATCGAGAGTGAAAACTGGTATTACAAGGAAAGAGTGGAAACTTGGTAGAGAGTGGAAGAGGAAAGATGAGGGAAGAAAAATGATGATGAAGAAGCTTTTGGATGTTGAAGTTGCCGAGAGACTGGGAGTTAAAAGATGAGGATAAAGGTTACAAAAGGGAAGGATAAAGAATGTTGAGAGAAGATGAAGAGAGAAGGGAAAAGGAAAAGGTTCATGTCGAGACGGTAATGAGAGTAGGATAAAAGAAGAGTGGAAAATGATGAGCAAGAAGATGAAGGAAGATGAAGGAAGATTGAGGAATGAAAAGTGGGAGGCAAATAAATCGTGAGACCCACAAATATTGGCAACCATTACAAATGTATAACAGCTAATGTATAAATATATTTTTTGTGATTGACCTTTTATCTTCTTCCTTTTTTTAAGGCACACTTCTCATCTTTCCTGATGGCGCACTTTTGAGAAAAGATTTAGACCCAAAATTCATTCGTTTTGGTTTGCTGAGTTTCTCCTGATTCAATAGACTTTTTGAAAAATTAATTTCTCAATCTCAACCTGACTTTAGACAATTGATGTTTCAAGAGTTTTAAAGGTTTAACGTAATTATATTGTTTCATCAATGAATCAAGAACTTTGTAAATCACGATTGAATCATCAGTAAACTTTCTCATGATCAACAAGCTCAACCTTTTTGAACTGGTTAAACATCAATTTTGGTTTTGCTGTTTGTTGGTTTAAAGTTGGAAGAAAACATTAAATTGCAAGATTTAGATTTTCTTGCGATTCCAATTTGAAAAGTCACATTTGAAAGTAACGTCAACTTGAAACTGTAAAACTCATCTATCATGACGCACTAAGAATGTATATCAATTCATCTTGACAACCCTGTAACATGGAAAAAGAAATCGATAGTTTTTGTTTCTTTCCTCTTTTCTCTTCTTCTGTGTTTTTCCTGTGCTTTTTTCACTCTCCAATGCTTTCTCATCTCCTGCTAATGCTCAAGACTTTTTCATGAGAAGATGAAGGAAGAAAAAATGAGAAAAATAATAATTTTGCAAACTTCTAAAGGGTCCATTACTCAACACATATCTGAATCTAAATCTGGTTCAGATTTGGTGAGAAGATATTTTACTTTTGTTCACATCTTTTCTCATGAAAATCAATAAATTGTTAAACTTGTAAAAAAATATTCTGAATGTAAAACAATCGACTGGGAGTTTCAATGACATTGCAGCAACTGTTAATTGTGATTAGTCAAACCTTTAAAAGCACTTTTCACATTTCATTCTTGATTCATATTGATGGTTGTAATAAGATTTTCATGATGAACTGCAAGAAAAAAAATCCAATTTTATAGTTGACTAGATTCACAATGTATTCATCATAATCAAGCTCAACAGTCACAAAAAAAAGAGAGATTCATTGTCATTTCCATTTTGATTGAAAGTAATATATTATAATAATAATCAGGTTGATATTAAATTGCAGTTAAAAGGTTCAATTTATCATTTGATTGACGTTCATTTTAATGGATGAAACAAAGGGATTGATTAAGCAAAGTTGAAGGTAAACAAAGGTCCAATTTGAAATTGAACAAATTGTTAGCTGAGCAAATAAAATTGTTTGTTCAATCAATGAATTAGTTTTAGGTTTGATTATTTTAAAATTATGTTTCACTTTAAAAGCAAAATATCAAAAGCAAAAAAGTGAAACATTGAGTAAAGTTGCCTTTTGCTGTAAGAAGTAAATTTGAAAAAATTGTTTTCTTTCAATTTTCCATTGAATTTCATGATAATTTGTAGAAATGTTGGAAATGGTTGCAAGAGAAAAGCTAATAAATCTATTTAGTTGATCTTATTTTCATGGTTCAACTGATTGAATCGGAAACTGAAACTTGCTATTTTCAGAGTCGCCAAAATTGTTCTGAATTACCTTTAACAAGCATCCTCATCATTATCAAGTTGGTCATCCCAAGGTAAACAAAGAAAGGAAAAGGAAGGGAAGAAGATGAAGAAGATGAAGATTGGAGTTTGTTGTGAAGGACAGAAAAAGTAATAAGGAAAAAGTTTTGTTGAATCTCAATTTGCTGGACAAACTGAATCCATTGAACCATACTTTATTCAAGCTGAGCAATCCATATTGATTCCCTTTGTCCTTTAATAATCTTCACAACTTGTAACACTCTTTCCTCGTCTTCCTTTATCCTCATCTTTTATCTTCTCCTTATCAAGCACACACAACACTGCTCTTCGCCATCATCCAACTAGCATCACAGTTTTCCCCATCAAACCGCTTCTCTTAGCTAATCGATCAACCCTTTTCTCTGTTGATGTAAAAAACAATTTTCAACTTTCATTATTAAATTTAAATTTCCTTTCATTCTCATCATAATAATCATCTTCTCCTCATCTTCTTTGTCCATTTCCCATTCTAATCCTCTTCAAAACTCTACATCAAAACCTTTAATATTGTCTCTCCAGACTCTCATCCATTTTCATCTTTAGAAGCGCAATAAAATGGAAAATCAATCGATTATTAAAGCACTTTAGCAACATTCAAATTTGGGTTCAAGTTGATTTCAATTCATTTCATTATAACTTAAGCCAAATAATCAGAAAATGTCTAACAAAAGCTGTTTCAGTTATTCATTCAAATTTCAACCGAAATTTATTTTTAAGCTTTAGCTTCATTCCTTTATGGAGATTGAGTTTGATGCTTAAATCACTTGTAATGTTGACTAAAAGCTGCAGATGAAACAAATGGACAGAATTGGCAGAGAATTGAATTTTTCCAAAAAATCTCTTGTTTGGTCATGAAATATTGAGCCAAGCTTTGAGTTGTTGCTTTAAAAATGGGAAACATTTAATGAAAATTAAGCTAATTTTGCATTCGTTTTGTGCTTTTCCATAAGAAAATGAAATCTCAAGTCTTCAATCAAGTTGAATGGATTTTGTGTTTTTCATGCAAAGTTTTCTTCTCATTAAACCAATGTCTAAGGCAACTCTTTCAATGATAAACAACAGTTAAGAATAGATTTTGAAGTGAAAAGGTTTCATCGTTTCATCACGAATCACTCGTTAAGATTGAATCGATATTCACTGGGAATTCCGTTGGACTTGACTGTGTTTTGTCTGGAGATTTTGAAGTAAAAAATTGTTCAACTAACCTTTTGGTCAACTAATCATTTGACTTTGTTTTGCTTCAACAAAAACACCTTTTAAATGTTGGCTTCAATCAAAAATATTGATTCAGTTATGCCATCATTTTCACCCTGTTATTTCATTTTCACACATTTTTCATGTTTGATGAGAGAAAGGAGAGAAAAAAGAAGAAAAAATTACTGAACAATTTTTCTGTTCCTTCCTTTATTTTCCTTTCATTTGTTTATTCAAAGCACAAACAGCTAAAGCTGATAACCAAAGCTGATAGTTTTGTTGAAAAAAAAACATGAACACACAGCATGATAATCATCAAATTCAATAGTTTCCACCATTCCTCAACATTAATCCAGGTTTTATCTATTTTTTCAATTCCATCCTTTCATTTTCATCCATCATAATTAGAGGAACCAAAAGAAATGCCTGAAGAAGAACATTTAAACAGATTTAATAACAGAATTGGAATAATCTATTTTTCATAAATTGCCATGAATGAGCAAGAAAATTGTTCCAATGTTCATCTAAATTGCAAGATTAATTAACAATTTTGTATCATGTTATTCAACCTTTTTTTACGACCTTTTCTTGGCTCAGTTTTCCTCACAATGAATGAGCAACAGCAAAACCTCTTATTAAGTAAATAAGATTATCATTAATGAGATTATTTTCATCATGTAAAGATGAAGAAACGGAAAGATATTGGATTCTTTCATGTATCTCCATTGAACACTGTTAATAGACAATGAAATTCATTGTGTCATGAAAAATACTGTTTAGTTATTATGAGATTTTCAGTCGTCTGATAATCCGTTTCCGTTTTTAATCAAAATGTGACCTGACTTGATGATGAGCTCATTTGATCATGTCAAATGAAATTGGTTTACACCATCAATTGAAAGAGAAAATGAAATTTCTCTCCAAAAGAACATTCATTTTCTATTCAATCGAATTAGAAATTGAAATGTGTGAGGAAAAAAAGGAAACTTTGCGCTTCTCTTTTGCTATTCAGCTTTAGAGGTAAATGTAAATATCATGTTGGAGGTAAAAAGAGCAAAGGTAATGAAAGAAATGGTCAAAATCAAGATTTATGCCTTTTCCTTGTTCCTTTTGTTCCAATTCAATTTACCTGGAAAAACCATCTTCTTGTAAACTTGTCCATTTCAAATGCTGGACAAGCATTCAATGAAATGTTTATTAGCATCAAATCAACTTCATGTTGATCATCTTTTCGTGATTTTAGATCAAATCAGTTTTTCCAAGGTAATGTTGAGCGTATTGATAATTTTGTTAAACATTTTTACTCAAACTCAGTCAAATCGGTCAAGATTATCAACTGACTGTTAATAATGCAAGAATTTGGGTGAATTTTGATTAAAATGTCAAAATGTTTGAAGCCTCTAAACATTAAAAGTCAACAAATCAATTCTAATAGTTAGATTGGGTCCAACAAGCAACTTGAATATGATTAGCTTCAAGTTGACTTCAATCTCCATGATTAAGCTGAGAATCCAAATTTTGGCCAACATGTAAATTTGAATAAACTGGAATGTTTATTGGGATCGAATCAACTTTAACCATTGAATTTATCACCTCCAATAAAACTGACTTTTTATCAATTCCTTGTCACTATAATAGAGGAAAATAACGAAAATTATGTCTTTATATTTAGTCAATCAAAACAAGTCAATGGAACTGGTAGGTTTACACAAAAAACTGAACTTATCTTGTAGAGTTGGCATCCAATGGGATTGTAAATTATTGCCTGGAAATCAATTTTTGTTTTTCAATATCCTTTTTGAATGAACATTTCAAGATTGATGGCGAATAAAAGGAAGAAAATATATTCTCTTTTCCATTGGTATGAAATTGACAAAATCAACGAATTGACTGTTAAATTTACTTGCATTCAATAAGCAACATTCTTGTGAACCATCATTTAGAGGAAAATGGTGAAACAGTAAACTGAAAAATATTTGCCTTCACCAGAATATTCATTTCTCTATACAATTCAGCTTATCAGCTACTTTTTTGTTCTCCATATTATTCTTGTTGTTGTTGCTCTTTTCTTTTACTCCGCCATTTATGTAAATGTACATAACTCGATGAATTTGCCCTTGAAAAAGGTTCGAACATGACGCCATTTTGACTAAAGAAGATGATGGATTCTCTTGAGAATGGATTCATTCGCCTACCAGTCTTTATCATCTTATCCCTTCTCATCCTCCCCATCATCTTTACTCCCAGCCATTGGCATAATACATATAAAAATATATATATATATAACATTATCTTCTTAACCATCCAAGGCTTTTTATCTCTCTGGATCAAGAAAAGAGTCTTTAGGGGAAATCGAGTGTGTAAAGAATTTATCCTCATCAAGCAATAACAGCTCAAAAGATGATGATGAGAATGAGAATGAGTATGATGAGGATGTTGATGATGAAGGGAAGGAAAATCCTGTCTTTTTCTCCCTTTTATTCAGATGGAAACAGCGACTGGCAGAGGAAGATAACTTGTTTACGCTTTGTCTTTTTTAGCCATACATTTCATTGAAAATTTTCCAAGATCAACTTTTTACTCTTTTTTTAATCAAAATGTAATTAGCTTGATTATCTGATGTAAGTGTTGACAATTAACCAATTGAGTCTTGTTTCCAAGTTCAACAAACATCATCAACCCGAGTCTCTTCCAGTGGTGTAAACATTTTCAAACAGCCATTTGAGGTTCAACTTGATAATCACAATTCAGGTTAATCAAGCAACTTTAACAGATTATTCTGTTCTTTCATTTTTTCATCAGCAAAATTCACCTTTCCTTTATGATTCCATCTTGTTCATCTTGCTTTTCAAGTATCATCCTGATTCAGTGGATTATTTTTTGACTTTTTTTCATATTTCTTATCTGCTTAGGTAAACACATTTTCACCTGAAAATAGAGAGAGTGTGAAAAAAGAGTTATTTATCAAAGGATGAAATGAGGGAAAAAGTGAATTACTTTGAAGAATCAATAAATCGACCTGAAAATGAGAGAGAAAAGGTTCGGTTTTGATGGTTACAGGGATGAGGAGGATGATGATGAACAGTATGGGAATGACTTTGATAATGTCATCACAGAATTGAAACAATTGAAGCAAAATTTGATTGCAACAGTGAGTTTGGATGCAACAGATTTTATCATAAATTATTAATCATCATTTCGTGATTAAATCTCATTTAATGGTCACAATTGACTAAGCCTAACCCAACAATCAAACTTATTGTAATTAAAAGTTATCGTGTTTCTCATTTTAGCAAAATGATGTTAAACTGATGTTTAAAATTGAATGTTACCATTATTTTAAATTATAAATTCACTTTTGGGATAAGATTTTTGTTCAAAGATAATCAATTAAAAAATAATCATTTACATTTTTGACGTTAATCTTTTTCTTCATCTGTTAAGCTTTTATTACAATTTTAATTGAAGCTAATCTGAATGTCTAAATATGTGATTTTATCCGATTTTATTGAACAAAAATCCTCTTAACGTTCTGTTTCTCCAAATACTACATCAATATTTATGTTAATCACGAATGATGATGAGAAAGAGGAGGAGAAGGATGAAGATGAGGATGAAGATGAAGGTGATCAAAAACAGTAAAGTTAATCGGACGATTGATAAACATTGAGTGGACCAATTGATGAGAGTAAAACTGGAAAAAAAGAGAAAAACGAAAATTAGTTTAAGCTGTGAATTTGGATCATCCGATAAAAGCTGTTGCTTGGAATCAATTTGGATTGAAATTGTAAGCCCTTGATAATTACAATGGGACTAATCGGCTGAAAGTCTAATTGTAAGGGACAAAATTTTAATCAATTTCACTGAATCAATCAAAATTGTGTCTGCAAAGGCAATCTGGACCATTACATGGAAAAAGGAAAGCGAGAACTTTTTACCTGAAAAAATGTGTTGCAAAAAATGATACTGTTTCTGTTTTTAAGCCAAAATAGTACAAGAAAAGAGTATTAGGACAACCATTTTATTACATAAGCTGTAAATGGTTGAATGAATTTCTGTTGTTTCTAGTTTAAAGATGATGGTAATGATGAGGATGAGGATGGCGATGGTGGTTGCGTTGTAAAAAAGATGATGAAATCATGTTGGCAAGGGATGAAATGATTTTCATCAACACAGGAAAAAACACCAAAAAGCACAAAATAAATAAAACTGAGGGATGACAGAAGATGGTGAAATAAAGGGATGATGAGAAATAAAGTTTGATGATGATAATGATGGTGATGCTTACGGCTTGGAAATTGTTTAACTTTGACTGAGGCAAGATTACATTTATTTCAATGCACCATAAAATACTGTTTAAGTTGACTCTTCCTATCAAAATCCTCTGGAGGGTTAATGTCCACCTTTTATGATAGATTACAGTTAAATATTGGTTTCTCTGATTCTGCAGATATTTCAACAATGGACGCTTTTTTGTCTGTATTAATGAATACCTTCCATTTTTAATGATCACAGTTACCAGCTTTAATTTGAAATTGAACACACTTGCAAATGCAATTCGACCAGAAAAAAAATATCTTCCTTTGTTTCCAACCAGCCTTTTGAAATCAGGTTTACAACTGCTATCAACATTTTCTATGTAACATTGAGTCTGGATTTTTTTCTCGCATCACATTATTATCATAGTTTATAATTGGAAACTGTGCTCAATACTGTTGTTGTGACCAATTAATTGTGTTTGGCTCTAAAAAAAGAGTGACGTTGATAACGCACAAACAGGTTACTAAATCAAAAGAGAAAGATAATGGGGTGAGAATGAATTTAGTTTCTCTATTCAACTGTCTATCTTAATTTTAATCACAAGTTTCTGGTCAAATTGTAATGAAAAAGTAAAACAAAAAATTTAATCAACTCGAACAATGAGACAAGAATGATTCATTGGGATAAACAACAGCAACAACCAGAATATGTGCAGAAAAAACCCTAATTCGGGACTTTCTTTGTTCAACATATTGTTCAGATGAGAAACTTTTTTAATTAATTTAGCTCGAGTATTAGCTTAAAATGTGTAGTCTAATGATCATGTTGAATAAACTATGATAATAACGATCAGCAACAATAAAATCAACAGCAACAGAAGCAGAAGTTAATAATGGCACTTGGTAAGGCTTAAAATACAGGCGGAATATCCAAAAAAACTGATGAAAAGAGTGTAAATAGAGCCCAGATGAAAGTGAAACAGATCTAAATGAAAGAGAAGAGAAATTATTTTAATAAAAAGGTTGATCGTCTGATCAGTTGAAACTGAAAATTAAAAATAACCAGATTACCAGTTGATGTGTAAAGGGTATAAACCATGAAGTCCAAATTGGATACCATTAAAATCACAGTGAGTACAGTTGTAAACAATACGAAGCAGCAGCTTTAATCATGACAGAAGAAAACAAAACAATATAATAAATTAATCAACAGAATAACAAAAGGCAAGAAATTAACAGTAAAAAACAATTAACACTAGTAATAAGCCAACAGAAAAATTAAAACCATGTGACAAAAAAGTGGAGGCAAATTTTCAATTTACCAACCCATTAGTTTTAAAGCGCCAAGTTTAATATTTTTAATCAAATGTTGAATAAGTTCATTTTTTGCCTTCTTAATCAATAGTGATTCACAAAATTTGAAATAATATTACAAATAATGAAAAAAGGTCAAAAAAAGAAATAAAAATGTTCCAATTTAGTTGTCAAAATAAATATAAATATAAATGAATAGACAATAGTGCAAACAAAGGCCTAAGGCCAAGAAGTTAAGGGATGGAGGAAAAAGTGAAAAATGAAATTGAATATTATGATGAAAAAGGGATAAAAAATGATTACTTATTGAAATGTCAAAAAATTGTCGCAACAAAATGTTCAATCTAAATGATAACTCATAATTAAAATGGCAAAATTACCATTTCTATTTGAGTTGCAATCAAAATTGAGTCACAACTTGAAAGACAATTTATTTCTGGATTCACCTTTTTTCAATGAAATTGTCAGCTTGCTACTTCCAATTTAAATCAACTCAATGGTAAATATTCATTGAAATCAGTTATTCACAGTAAATTTACCGATTAATTTCAAGATAAAAATAAGATACAAATTGAAAGATGAATTTTGGGGTAAAATTTGAGGTAAAATTTGAGATGAATTTTGAGGGATGAAAAATTATTGAATAACCACTAATCCAAGAAGGATTTTGATGGTTAACACGAAGATTTACATTTTTCCCAGCAGAATTTAGAAGAAGAAGAAGCAAGAAAAATGTTGAACATTTTTGTTGAACATTCTGTTATCATTCTGATAACATTAAGCATTTTTAAATCATTTGTTGGCATGAAAAAAACTCGCATCATTTTCATCCTTAATGATAAAATAATTTTCATCAGTCAAAAAATAACAACATTGCCTGTTAGGATAAAGTAAAAAAGAGGGCAAAAATATCATTATTTTGATGAAAAAATATCAATATTTTAATGGTAAACATTTTCTTCTTCTTCTTCTCCTTTTTTTTCATATTAAACTAAACATTTTTCATTTTGCCTTTAATGACATTTACTTTGAATTGTTTAATGTTTGATTAAAATTTACGCGTTTCTTTGGTGCCTTTTGCTGGTAACGACTAACAGTGAAAATTTGTTTCCATCCAATGTTCATTTGTGCCGAGAATGTTGATCAATATTTTCTGTGTACTTTGCATCTCATTTTTATGGTGAAATGCTTAAAGTCACAATTAAATGAGATTTTCCAATTCAATATCATCTTATTGTAAGAGACTTTTTGGGTTCATGTTATTGTTGAAAATGGGTAACATTATGATGGAGTAACCTTGGTGATGGATGCTAAGGGAAGAGTAAAGATGCTCATTAGTGTGGAAGAGGAAAGATCTTGAAAGCTGATGAAGATGAAAGAGATGAGAATTGAAATTGAGAGAAAAAGGAACAAAAAAGTAAGATTAGAAAAGAGGAATAAAGAGAAGACGAAGAAGAAGATAAAAGAAGGAGGAACTTGAATGATGAGAAGAAGAAGGAAAGCTGAGAATGATGAGGATGAAGAGGAATGAGACTGAGTGCTACTGTTGTTGAAGGAGGGATCAGAGGAGGAGTTGTTTGCTCTTCATCTTCATCTCCTTTTTACTGGTAAAGTGAAGATGCTTTTCAATGGTTACTGTCGACTGTGAAAAAAGAGGAACAAGAGAAATGTTGGAATAAAAAAGTCGACACAAAAATGATGATCAAGGATGAAGATGATGACAAAAAACGATGAACAAGAAGAAGATGAAAAAAAGAGAAAAGTTTTTAAACAAAAGAAATGCTTCTGGATATTACATGAAAAGCATCTATACTTTGGATAGCAAGATGAAGATTGTGTATGATGAAGAAAATATAATTGGAAAAAGGGAAAAGGAAATCGCAATTTTGACCTCAAGGGATTTAAATTGATATCAATTTGATATGTATAATATGAAGAGACAGATGATGATATTGATGATGATTTGTCTCTAATAATGGTTCAACATTTGGTTCCTTTTTTTGTGTCTTTTGTTTGAATCATTTTGCGTCTCGCAATGTTTTTGCATTGTTAATGGACATTTTTGCCTTGTTTTGCTTTTATTAATTTTATTGTTATTTTTGGGTATTTGTTGCTTGTCTTTTTTTGTTTGGGTAAAAGTGTTTAAAGATGTTAAAAGATTTTTAAGTTTGATGTTTGATTTGAAAAATGGGTCTAGTTGACGGTAATTGAGGTACGTGAGGTGAAATGATTTAAATTTTTGATGATATTGAAGGGACGAGGTGAAGACTAACATCAACCGTTAATATCAACCTGTTTGCTGAATGAAGGTTGAAGATGAACATGTAAAGTATTATTGGTTATCAGGGAATGTCAGGGAAAGATAAAAGATGTGAATAGAATGTGTTTTTGCTGGTTTAACCCAATTTTTTTCTTTACTTTACATTTTTCATTCTTATTGGCATTATTTTACTCACGCTAGTGACTCAAGGTACTTCTAATTTGATTACTTGAAAGCATTTTCAATCCAATTAAAAGTGATTTCCAATTGATGAAACACAATTTGTTTTCATTAGGAAAAGGCAGAAAATTTGAAAATGATGAAAATGGTTGTAAGAACGGTAAAGATGAAGATGCTCAGAATAGTGAATGAAGAATGTGGAAAAATTGATTTTTTAGATTTTGATGCAACAAAAGGGAAAAAGTGACTTAAAGAAGGAAGATGAGGAAAGATGAAGTGAAGATGAAGGGATAAAAAGAGAAGAAGAAGAAGAAGAAAAATCTTTCTTGATCGATATTGTAAAATCAATGCCAAGTGAAGTACATTATTTTTGTTGCTATGGTTATCCAATTGAGAGCATCAAAGTTTAGATGAGAAAAGAAGAAGATGAAGAAAAATGATGATGAAAAGGAGGAGGAGGAGGAGGTGAAGGATGAAGAGAAGAGGAAGAAGAAAGAAGAAGAAAAATGTTCCAAAGTTATCCAGCATCCCGACTGAGGTCGACACCAACACAATCCCTTGAGTAACTTCAACATCAGGCTAACCTTCATCATCAGTTCATCTTCATTGTTCATCATTTTTATCAGTTTCTCACTTGAATCGCCTCTTTCTTGACTTTCCTCATTGTTTTTGCACCATCATTATAATCATGAAACTAGAATGTTTTTTTGTTCCCTCGATAACATCAATGTTGACCTTATCTTAAGATGATGAGGACGATGAGAGGAAGAAGATAAGATTACAGAAAACTGGTGAAGACAAAAGAAGAATAAGAAGATCGATTTTTAGGTTAACTCAATGGTGATCATTATTTTGCCTTTTTGGGCAAAAGAACCAAATTTTTGGTTGAAAAAGAGCTGGAAAAGGCACCAGAAAAAAGCTAATATCATAACCAGAAAACAAATGCAACTCTAATTGAAATAAATTGACATTCAAAACTAATATTGCAAGAGTAATAAATGTTAACCAGGTTAACCTAAAAAAAGGTAAGAAGCGTAAAATTTTCTTGCTACCATTTACCATGTTTAGGAACATCTTTTGTTCATCTTTTTCATGATGAAAATATATTTCCATATCAACATTAAATTGTTACCGTTTGCTGTCCATTAATAGGGTTTTTATGCTTATATAATATCTACTGGGTTTAATCGCAATTCACTGTACATAATGTGTGTTGCTCAAATAAATAATGACAATAATCTTGGTTAATGTTTAATTTGAATGACCTTTTCACCTTTTCTGGTTAACTTTGAAACATTGATTTAACTCTTTGTACCTTTACATTTTATTTATTCAAATCAACTTCAATTAATTGTCTTGATTGTTTTCAATTTTCAGCTTTTTACTTGCTTCTGTTTTGGTTAAACTGGTAACATTTAATTGGAATGGTTTGACTACTTGATTTAGTCACTTTTTTCAACCCATTTTGCTGCTTTAATTGACTTGATTAAGAAATTTCTGTGATCAGAATAATCTCGGGTTTGTAAATTAAGGCAAAGATTATCGAAAATAATGAGACAGAAAAACGTCATTTGAATGCTAAACCTGACCAACGTGATTCAAATTTTTCAATTCTGTAAACTTCAAGCCTTCAATCTTTCTCATGCTTCTCGGACTATTCAACGTTCAAAGTCTCTGTTTACATTCAAACCTGGTTCCGATTGAAACTCATTTAGAGTAGATAATTGATTGCAGTTGATTTAACTGATTTTTCATAATCCAATGTTTTCCTTTCAAAAATGAAATATAAAGATTCGAAAAACAGTTTCTTCATTTTTGCAATTCCACCCGATTTTTACATTTTCAATACTCTTGAAGTTGTCATAAAATTTGACTCCAAGACTGAATAGATTATCGAGAATTCTCTTGATTTCTTATAATGTGATTGCTGAACTTTTCTAGTCTTAAAATTGGTAAATTTTCCAAAATTAAATCAAATTATTAAGGCTTAATCATTCGCCTGAAATTGAAAGATTTTAAAATTTCTAGAAATTTTGATCAATGGTTGTGATCTCATCTGTTTTTCAATTAAAAGCTCTTTTCTGGTATTACAAAGATTTTTCAGGTTTCCATTTCAATTTTGATTACAATTTTTTTTAATTTGATTGCATTTCCAACAATTTAAACAGATTATCACAGTTAAAGAAAAGTAAATTTGAATTTGAATGAAAGTAAATTTTAAATTTTGATCGTTTTACTTGCACAACCAGAAGATGTCACTAGTAACTCAATTTAACTGTTGAGATTGAATAATTTTTTGATTAATGATTAAAGGACTGAAAATGTTTGGCTGAACTGAAAGCTGGTTTTGCTGGTAAAGAGTGTAATTAACATTAATTTATACATGCTGATTCATCAACTGACTCATCAAGATATTGAATAATTGAACCAATTCTGGTTAGGAAAATAATTTCTGATGAATCAACAATTGAAAAGCTAAAAGGTTTATTAATATATTTTTTACAATTCAATTGAAGTGCAAACACAATTTCAATCTTTATCAAATATCCATTTGAAATTTAACCAGAACCCAAAAGTTTAAAAATGTAAATCAGGTAAAAATTTCAATTCCAGAAGAGATTCTCATTGAGAGTATTTGCAAATTGCCATTCAAGTGAATCCATTTATTAGATTTAATAGATTTAAATGATGAATACAATTTACCAATTCCTTTGAGTGTAAACTGATCAATTGATGAATCTTGATCAATCTTGAAAGGTAAATAAAGATGAAATAAATTTCAATGAAATAACAAAATCAATTGTAATAATCAATAAGAAATGAAACAAAATTTGAAAGAAACATTTGATTTTCATTTCAAGATTCAATGTAAACTCAATTCTGTACCAATTAGCTGGAAATGTGAGATGAAAGACTCTTCTTGTCATGATAATAAATGTTGTCATTATCTGATCAACTTTTCCTCTTTTTTTTGTTCAAATCATTATCATGTAATGAAAGTTAAATCCCTTGTTGACAGAAGATGACTTTTCGTAAAAATTGAACCCAAACTTGATTCACTCCAAGTCACTTCAGGTTATCTTGAAATATTTTCATCCAATTTTGTTTCAACTTGAAACCTTCAACCTGACATTGTTTCAGTGGACCCTTTTAACCCTTACAAGGCAATATCTTGACAGAATCAACCTGTTATCGGAAATTTGGTTAACACAAGTGAAACCCAAAACAACCTTTTGATTCGTTGAATTTTGTTCTGTCATGAAAAATTGAAAGCTCAAATTGTTATTAGATATTAAAGGCAAGTTCAGCCTTTTCCAATGAAATTGCTTGTTGCTTGAGAAATGGAAAAAAATTGCTGATGGAAATTGTTTTCTCTGTTAAATTGTAATTACTTAGATTATCATGTTATTAGAAATGTTACATTTCTTCTTTTTTTCTGTGCTTCTCTTCCCTTCCAATGGTCAACTTGTTTATTGGGTCATTTCCTGATTCATCTGATAACCTTACATGTAAACAGAAATCTGATGATCAATAATATCTATCGGTTTTCATGTGAAACTATTCTTATTATCATTTGGACCAAAGGAAATGAAATGATTCTGTTGTGTGCATCAACAGGAATGATCAATGGCCATTCCTGTCTCAGATTATTCAGACTATTTGAATTATTCAAGTTGATATTGAGATTAATAATTTGCTAATTGAATAAGAATTTCATGAATGGCCAGGAATTTTCATAAATTACAGATCGATTAGAATGGTTACAGAATTTCAGATATTCTTTCATTCTCTTATAAAATGTAATATTCATTGGTACAAGGCTTTGCATGAAAAATTGAATTAATATCTGAAATAGTCAAAATGAGAAAGAAAATCAAGATTTTTATCATTTCTCTTTTCTGGACATTTCCAGACAATTTGATATTCTTTGATAAATTTTAATGAATTGATGAATTTCTTTGGATTTTTAATGTTCATTCAAATCTCCTCAATTCTTGGTTGTTTTGAACATTTCAAAAGCTCTTCATGTTTCTGATGCTCTTTGATATTTTTGTTCATTTAAATGAACATTTTCTTAATTCTTTTGAGCATTTCCATTAGAAGAAAATTTTTTCACTGTTTATTATGTTCTTTGATAATTTTTCAATTTCGATGATAAATTTGGACAATTTTTAACAACTGTGAATTGAATTGAACTCTTAACTTGTCCTTTATTCAATTTGAGTTTTCACTGAATTACTGTTGATGTAAAATGAATGGAAGAGCCAATTTTTGTTGGAAGGAGGAAGAAAAAGGAACCACAAATTGTAACTGATTAGAGTAGAAAATATTTAATGACCCGTAAAAGACATGATACAGGGACAATGATGATGATGAACAGGAAAAGTAAAGATGAAAAGAAGATGAGGAAAAATGATGTTTAATGATGTTCATCAGTAAAGAGTAAAAGTTAACTATTATTTTGTCCATTTGTGACAATTAGTGATTAAATAGAAAAGCAAAAAATTCTGTTTTCTCATCATTACCATGAACCATTTATTGATTGATCAAAATCTATCAAGATTATCATTCCATGATAAATTTGATCAACATTAATCACAACTGCAATAACAAATGGAATCAAAAAATTGGTCAAAATTTTAAAGTCAATCTGCAAGACTTTACCAGTTTAACCAGAAATGACCGTTTTTGACCGTCAATGCTCTAACCAATTCTGGTTCATGCTTGGATAATTCAACTTTTAATCAGCAAATTGTAATTAAATATTATTGTTATTAATTTGTTTCTCCTTTGAGAAAAGTCAATTTATCTTTTCTGTGTTTACTTTGGTTCCAATGAGAAGCAAAAATGACAAATGATGGAGAAGAGGAAGAAAAGGTTGAAAATGTTGAGTCAAACAGAGACACAGTAAATAATGCAGTTTGAATGATGATAATGATGATGAAAAGTATTAGATGAAGATGAATGGTAAAGATGATAAGTTAATTCTGGTCAAAATCGGAGTGAAAAAAGTAGTTGAAAATGAATTATTTGACTTGTCAAGTCTCTTCTCATCTTTTTTCATATTTTGTTTCATCTTTTTTGCTTCTCTTCCCTTTTTTATCCTCTTCATCATGGATTTCATTATATCCATTGAGTTGATCATTAATCTCGAGACTTATTTATTTTCCACTAGCAATTAATTCAATGGTCATTAATGAACAGTCAATTGTTCATTTTCAACTGTCACTGATCTTCAGGTTTCCAATAGTTGTTCAAAATTTTAAAATGTAAATAAAGAGATTCATTTGTAAATCATTATTTCAACTGATAATTTTGCAAATTAATTGTTGCGTTGAACAATTTATTATCAACAATGCCTTTCAATTTATATAATTATCATTGTAATTTGAATAAATTAGTGTGCAGTCAAATCTCGAGTTACAATGAAAATCCAGGTTTGAAATTTAAGCACAAGGCTTGAGTTTAATTTAAATAATGAAATTCAGAATGGAAATTTAGACTTTAGATTCATTATCAACATGAAAATTTGGAATTGAATTTGAAGTTTCAATGTGTTTCAATGTTGATTGTGATTATTGGTGATCTTCATTTACCTTCTTAGAGTTGATTAAAGGCCTTCTAGATTTCAATTGACATTAATCTTGTCGCTTTCAAGATTGCTCTGGTTTTGTATTGAATTGAGTGAATTGGCAACAGAATTTATTATTAATAACTTGACAGAGACAAAATTATCAAATAAAAATGATAACTGATCAACTGTAATTGCTTGGGAAAGCAACAGGACAATGCAGGATGAAATAAAGGTTTGAACCCAGAAAGGTCCCCAGATTGAGTAATAAGTAATGAAATTATCATCATGTTATTTGATTCTTGATTCATTTGGAACTATACATTTCTGTATTTCTCCTCATTTCACCGTTTTCCATCTTCCATTCCATCATAAAGCTCGTCATTTCTGGTGATATTGAACCAAGTAATTTAATATGATACAGAAGAAGAAGAAATGAAAATTTGACTTTTTTTCATCTCCTTATTACCTTTAACATGGCAACATTTCAGGTCATATTTTTACCCTTCAACGTCTTAATTAAGAGCTTCTCGTTGCTTTTTTGTCTGTTTAAAAATATTCATTTGCTAATTGTAATAGAAGCAAACAGAATCTAGGTTTTTTAATTAAACCTTTTCCCATCCATTGGAGCAATCTTGAAAGTTGTATGTTGCCTACAATTTGCTGGTTCACAGTGAAAATTAATCTTTACACTTTCATCTTAAATCATCCTTTTCCCTTGAAATTGCTCCAGGATAAATTCATGTTCATTTCCATCCAGTCCAAGTTTCATTTTGAACGGAAATCATTGAGACATATTTTCAACTTCCTCAAGAATCTTCCAATCGAAATGGATAAATGTTGGATGCCAATTGTCAACCAGGAATAAATCATGCAGCGATTATGATATTTCTGGTGATGATGCAGTTCCAGATGTAGTTGCAGCAAGACCGAGTTAATATGCAGAGTTGAGCAGTTACAGTAATTTACGTGTAAAAAAACATGAAAAATTTTCTCCAATTTTCTTTTTCGTTTTTTTTTGTCATCCTTCTTTGTCATCTTTTGCTCTTCCTCCGTCATCTTCTGTCCTCTTTCCTATTGTATTTTTGCTTAGCAAATGTGGAACCAAATATCCTTCAGGCGTAATCAAATTGTATTGGCAATTCAAATGGAGTAAAGGGAATTAACTTTCATGATTATTGTTGAACATCATTATTTTTGCTTCTCTCGTTTTGTTACCCATTTAATCATTGTTATCATCAGCCATCACCGTAATCATCATCATCATTATCATTACCTTTAAAGACCTCATCATCACATCAGTTTTTGATATAATTTGGTTACTTGGTTTTGATATATTTTTGGGTTAAATTAATAAATGTAAGAATGATGGGAAAAGAGGTTGTTAATAGAATGATCAATGGAAGATGTTCATCTTAAGATGATAATGGGAGTCCAGAGGATGGTCAAAGATTGGGGGGAAAAAAGAGGTTAATCAATTACAAGAATTTGTTTTTCTGCTTCAACAGAATAATGTTATAATCATGATTATCATCATTATTAAGATTATTATTATTCCCATTTTTCGCATTATTAATCTATTTATGTGTTGTCATTTGAATCATCAGCTTTTTCTAGTTGTTTTAATCTTATGGGAACACAAAAGGCTGATGCATTGTTAATGTCAATACAATTGAATGTTAACAGTTGATTCATGGATTTTTTCACGTCAATATTAAACTCAATCTAATCAATTAAGTCAAATGTTTTTCTTGTTGGGTTTTAAGGGAAATGATGGAAGAAAAAGAGTGATAATGAATGAATCAACTAATTAGTTTGGTGTTAATAAGGTTAACTTCAACACTTGAATGGTTAAACAAGATAATTCAGACTATTGATTTATTCAAAAATGTTGATGTCATCATTAGGATGATGAGAAGATGATGTTTGTTATGATTATGATGATTTTGATGATGATTATAACCATAATTAACAGGTCTGTCTGCCTTTGATTTGTAACAGCTTTGAATTCTTCCACCACTAATCATCCTTTTACTTGGCTATTGAATTCAATTGGAAAGGTTTCGCAAAATGGGATTAATTAGCGATATTGATGATTCAATTATTGCATATTAACAAGTAGATTTAAGTGTTTTGCTTCATTGGAAATGTTTATTTCATTACAGCTGTTTAAGACTGTGTTTAGTCTGGAAAAGCGTACGCCAATGAAAATGTTGAATATGCTTGAATAAAAAATAGCTAAGGTAGCTAGAATAGATTTATAAAGATGATTAGATGCACTTAAAGCAATGATTGCTTACAAAATATAAGTTTAAGAAACAAAGTAGATAAAAATTTGATAATAAACCGGGAAATGCCATGATTGAGTCAAGTCAAAAAAGAGGGAATTTGTAAATATAGTTGATAGTTGATGATTAAAATATCAAAGAGCAGGCTTTGCGTCATAGAAATGATGAATGCAGTTTAACAATCGAGATTAATAAAGGCGCCAACATTTCTAAATATTGCGATAGGCAGTTGTATCTTAGTCTTGGTAATAAAAGATATGTATGTATGGACTTAGGATGTACTGAATGAAATGCAATCACAGGAAAGATCATTCAAATTGACCAAAGCTCCAGTAAATGATTTCTCAAATTTTGGCAATGATATGAATCGAATTTTGCTCGATCCGAATTCTTGTATCTCTGTGGCAAATTTGTCTTGATTTCCAGTGAAATAAACATCAGGTAATTTTGTCAAGCAAAATGGGTCGTTATCCTTACAAGGATAGCTGTGTAAAGTGTCTGGTGCTGTTGGTGCTAAATGACACCAAGAAATAGTCTTCTTCATAATTTCAATTGGGTCCTTGAGATTACTGAATCGACGTATGTTATCAATCGTTTGACCAGAATTGCCAATAAATAAACGAGAATCAAATGAGGCAGCATAGGGATTTGTAACTCCTCTAATTGTCGAGTAAATGCTACTTCGAGGCAAAATGGATGGGTGAATGGGTTGTTGAGGAATAGAAACGTTTGTTACATCAGTAAAACCAGGCATGATTTCAATTTCAATGCTTCTACCCAATTCAGCAAGATATTCATCAATTGTTGACATTATATCAACAGTGTAAGGCTTGCCCTTTCTTAGCCATGGTTTACTCAAGGATTCATCTTTAGCTTCTTCCTCGGTCCGAACAGATTCTCCAATTAGATTACCTGCAATAATAAGGCGAATAATATTTGCAGACCTATTCCCATCATCTGGATCTAATAGGCCAACGAGGTAATTGGACAGCATGTCCAGAGCATTCTTCAGTTTTGATGATAGGTTACGACTAAATCCAAGACCAGAAACAAGTAGTATATATTTATCATTACAATTATTAGTATTGTTAACAGCTATCGAAGATCTTGACCAAGGATCAGGCAACAAAGGATAACAATAGTCTTCAACTGTGAACTCATTTCCTTCGGAATCAGCGTAACCAAGCAATCCAATTACAACACCAGTTACATGAGAATGAACAGAAATATTCCCATGTAGTTTGACACATTCATTTTCATTCTGGAGTAGCAGATGATCATTTTCATCAGTATAATCATCTTGTGGCGTCAATGGTGAAGAGTCTTGATTTTCCTCATATGCAATCTCTTTCAAGATGGTCGGTTGGTTTTTCATTTGTTTAAATAGAACACCAATAATGATAACCTTCTCATTGGCATGGTCAGAAAATTCACTAATCTTGATTACTTTGGCAGTATCACTCCACTTTGCTTCAATAGATTTATGTATCAAAGGTCTAACAGCTTCCAATCGAGCCAGATAGTATGGATAATATTGTGAGGTGAATGGCTTGATTTGTATCCGAAAAGTATCACATAAATCTTGATATTGAACACGATTCCTTTGTGAATGATGATTTGACTGTCCATTGAGATTGGTCATGATTGTATATTAAACAAAATAAAAATAAATTTATTAATAATATGATTATGATAACAAGGAAAAAATAAAAATAAAATAATGGCGGTTTACTTTTTTTGTTAAACCGCTTTATGCCGTTCTGCCTCAGCAGCTGTAAAACGCATTAAAAGCATGAGCAGAGTTTCATTGGCTTATGATATTTCCTTGGTATGCTTTCAATTTCAAAATTACTTTGACCATTCTAACTCTTCGCATAAAAGTCCTGATTTGATATAAAACTTGTTCAATCTTAGATTTAATAATATAACAATCATAATAATTCAGCGAAAATCTTACTTCAAAAGAAATACAATTTGTTTCTCAATTGATACAAGTTCTTTCAAAGATTTCGTTTAGAAATAAATTTGATTTTGGCATGATAAATGATAGATTTGATTCTGCGATCTTATTTAACATGGATTAATAGCTGGATAAGTTACGAAGCTTGGATCTAAGATCTGGAAAAACGCTCACAAATTAAATCTGATTGCTTGTATTCAAATAATTCAAGCTGCAGCTTACATAGCAGAAATTGTGTATTCAGTATAAAAAATGAAATTAAACGTAATTAAAAACATGAATCAGTAAATCACAGTTGGTTATATTTAAAGTGATTAAAATCAGACTTGAATGTCTCCAAGTCTCAATGCTCATGATGTATAATTTGATTTTTGGTTACTATTCCAAATCATTGTAATGAAAAATCACATATTGAGCATACAGGAATGGTAACAAGGGAAAATTCGTAAAAGAGGGAATTAATAAAGGTGAATAACTAATTCAGATGATATCGACCTAAAATAAGGCAAATACTGGTACACTTAAACCACTAGCCTTAGGATAAGCTGAAATATTGGTCGATTCATCTTTCCGTTCTTCTCTTTTGTACACAATTAAGACGAGAAGAATGATTATTTCAACAGGATTAACCATAATGTATGCTAAAATACGCTTTTCTTAGATATCTCTGAACAGATAGTATGATTTTATGTTTAAATAGAAAAAGATTTGAGTAAATTGGTTTTGATAGGTTCACACAGAAAGATAAAAAGAGCAGTAGATGAAGAACGAGAAGTGGGAAATCTTTCTTAATGGTAAATCTAGCAACAAGCGAGGAAACTTAATTTATGGGTAATATTGACAACATTGATTGGTCTTTCGGGCAGTTTTGAAGAATACTTTTGATTGGGCGCTCAAATCGTCTGATTTAGCCACAAGATCATCCAATTTCTCTCCTCTTTGAAGAAGCGATGAGATAGTTTCGTGAAGAATAATTTTGGTTTCGTCAAGATCTCTTTGAAGTTTTGTCATAGCATCAGCTTCCTGAGGATTCTGGTATTTCACGAGATAGATGTCTAGAGCATTAAAAGTGACGGAACTGCAACAAAAGAAAATAAAATATTAGGTTCTAGCCATTAAATTGAGGTAAGCTTGGTTTCAATGTAAGTTTAGCAACTTGAAGATAAAACACAGAGCAACATCTCGAATGATCAGAATTCGCTACAATTCTAGAATTTATGAAACATCATTGGAGAAAATTGCAAAAAGTTGATTTCTCTGGTATGTAAAGTATCAATATTGTGCCTTACTCTTCCGCAGCACTGGCCCATCGTTGACTTGGAATAGCAACAGAAAAATCTTCGAGAATTTTACTCAACAAAGTATGAGCGACTCTATTGGGGTAATCTTGGTCAGATATGATAACAGAAGCTAAATTGTCAGCTCTCACATATGCATGGCACAAGTATTCTGAATAAAAGACACAATAAAATAATTAGATCGACGCCAAACAATACAATCATCAGAAGCTGTATTTGTTATTTACCTTGCTCTTTTATAGATGACCGAGAAGCTCTTTCGGATCTTTCCACAATCATTTTAGAGGTAAACTTCATGAATTCACCAACGCTGAAAAAAGATAGAAAAATGAGTAAAGTAGTAATTAAAGGAAGATTTCATGCTATGAAAAATTAAGGCCGAAATACAGTTGGCAGAAAACTCACCTTTTCTTCTGAAAATATCCAAATGAAGTTAAATCTGCACATGATTTAAGAATAGTTGAACCTCTATCGTGCTTATAAATTACTGCAACAAAATACAACTTAACCATTATTCTAGATGATTAGTACCAAAATCGGAACGGAAAAATATGGTCTTGAAACAAAACAAATAATTTTACAAAAAAATGTTACAACAGTTGGTCCATACCAGCTGAGTTGTCATATGGAAGATGACATCTGTGAGGGTTTGAAAGAATGTGAGTTGGTCGCGGGTAAATTGTCTGAACCATGCTTTTGAATCAATAATTATTTATTATTGTTATTAATTAATTTTGTGTATTTAAACAATCTTTCATCATCCCAATTTCATCTTACTCATCATCTTGGTCAGGTAAGCGTTAAATCTTTCATTACATTGTAGGATATTACCTCTAGTTTCTATATCTTTACCGGTTCCAATTTTTTCAATTTTCAATGTTTGGTTTGCTTTTTTTAATTTTTTGTAAGTTCACCTACAGATTGTCATTAATCTAATCTCATTTCTTATTCCTCATTCTGATTTTTGTTTACATCTAGGAATAAACTGTTTGGATCATCTGATATACCAACTACATGAGTTTCTGACCTGCTGATTCTTCACCGAGTCATCATTTCATTTCATCAATTTTAAATCCTCGATCTTCATACTTATATTTCAAGTAATTGTACCCAAATCCTGAGAAAGGGATCTGTACCTAATAATTCTTTGAATTGATCTGCTGTTGTGAAAATTTCCTGTGCAACATCAGCTGTTTGCAACTTATATCACAAGGAAAATGTCTGTGCTTAAAATACTTACTAGTGGCTCGGTTAACGGAAAATTTGCAACCTTCTTTGATCGAATCAATAAAGTAAACCAAAAAAATGGCCCATTTGATATGATCTTGGTTGTTGGGTCATTTTTCTCTGATAGCCCCGAAGTTAACCAAGATTGGACTGATCCAGTTAAAAGGCTTTCCTTAAACATACCTCAAATACCAATTTATATTTTAGGCCCACAGTCACAATCCCAATTAGTTTGTTATAAAGATAAAGGTGGAGATAAACCAAATTTTGAGAGTGGCTTTGAATTAAGTGAAGGAATAACTTTTCTTGGTAAGAAAGGAATTCTCACTGGCAGTTCTGGTCTTCGTATTGCATATTTGAGTGGAAATGAGTCTAGTGAAGCAACAGATATCACATACACAAAAGAAGATGTCCGAAGTTTGGTTCAACTAGCTGAAAGTTCAACTGCACCAATCGATGTACTTGTTACGCCTCGTTCTCCTCACGATTTTGTTAAATATCTTGACTTCATACCACCCGAGATGAAAATCGTATCTGATAGTGGCTCTGATCTAATATCACGGTATCTAATTTCATTACGTCTTTTTTCTCTCATTTTTTCTGATTCTAAAATATTTCAATCTTTGTATTTGCAGACTTGCATACCATCTAAAACCCAGATATCATTTCGCTGCCGGTGATTATTACTCAGAAAGAAGACCTTACCGAAATCATGTTGTTCTCCAAGAGTCGCAAAGGCCAGTTACTCGATTCTACAGTCTAGCTGCTATTGATAATCCTAACAAGTCGAAATGGCTTTATGCATTCAACATTATCCCAAGTGAAATGGTTGATAGAAAAGAATTAACGAAACAACATGAAGGAACAACAGAGCGCCCATATTCTTTCGCCAATGAATGGTCCGAGAAAGAATCTCTAATCAGCAAAGATCAATTCTTTTATGATGCTAACTATCAAGAAACTAGCCGACAAATGAACCCTCGTAAAGGTCCTAGGAGACCATATGATAATTCAAATCAAAATCAGTTTCGTGATAATTCAGACGATGGAGACCGCCAAAACAAGCGACATCATGACGATCGACAAAAACCACAAATTAAATGTTGGTTCTGTTTAGCTAGTCCCGATGTGGAAAAACATTTGATTGTTAGTATTGGGGAATTATGTTATCTTGCATTACCAAAAGGCGGGTTAATTGATGGTCATTGTTTGATTCTTCCAGTTTCTCACCATAGGTTTGTTTTTGGAATATTTATTTAAAAATTATCAGAATAATTTCTAGTTGAACTAATAAAAATCTCTATTTTGTAAATTTTTCAGGTCTTATTTGGAATCATCAGAAAACCAAGAACTCGTCCATGAAGTTGAAAAATTCAAAAAAGCTATTGGAGATTATTTTTTTACTAAAGATTGTATTCCAGTTTTCTTCGAGCGTAATTTCCGGAGTTATCATTTCCAGCTACAAGCTGTTCCAGTTCCAAAAGACTGTTGTGATTCCATTGAAGATAAGTTGGAGCAGTTAAGTTCTTCTAAAGGTCTCAAGTTGAAATCTATTCCTATTGAGATGGAATTACGAGATGTTTTATCTCCTGGTATTCCATATTTTTACATTGAAATTCCAGATGCTAATTTGAAAATGTTCACTCAAATAAAAAGACAAGAAAGAGGGGCAAATGATAACTCAGGGAAAAGTCAGGAAGGCCAATTTCCAATTCAATTCGGACGCGAACTCCTAGCTGATCCTCTCATTCTCAATATTCCCCATCGCATCGACTGGAAAAGCTGTTCACTTTCCAAAGAAGAAGAAATTGAAGAGACGAAAAAATTTCGAGAATCGTTCAAGCCATTTGATTTCACATTAGAATAACATATTTCTGTTTAATACATATTTAATAACATGTTTAATTACTAAATTTTCAGACTATTGTCTTCAGTGTAGCAAAGTTATCATGACCTATTTCAATTTATTGAAAAGATGAATCATTTTTGTTACTAATTGCGTGTAAACAGAGGAAATCCTGTATTACAAATTTCTATCTTAAAAATATGTTTTCATTGTTACTAAAACATTATTTAAATAATTGGCAACTTCATTCAAAGCCGCAGAAGCAAATTGACTCGACAATTTATTTGATCTGGATTTGGGAACACCATCAATCGTTTGGATACTTTTCTCGGTTTCAGACAAGAGTTTATCGATAACATTAACAGGAGATGTCCATTGAATATTTGAACATCCTTTTATGTATTTTTTAAGATTCCGTCCTTTACATTTATATCGCCAAGCAACCCAAGCATCAAAACCATGAACCTGATAAATCTTTCGTACACAAGCAATATCATCAGTAATATCATCATCAACTAATTGAAGGCAATTGATTCCACAAACGTTTATATCATTAGGTGGCCCACACCAGTAACGGCTGTTGATCTATTTAAATGGTGATTAAAAAATAGATACCAAAATTTTAATTAGAAGATGAAAGTCAATCATAAAACTCAAGGATAAAGATTGGGCTCAGATCCTTTATTCAAAGGTGTCCATCACTAGCAAATTATCACAGCTTCAAGAGTCAAGAACAACAATGATCAATTGATCAACATGCTGGTCAACAATCAAGTACAAGATTAAGAGGATCGCTATGACGGGTGCCAAATTGTGTTAACTAGTAGCAGATCCAATTAGACGGTAACCTTGATCAGGCCCTTATAATTTGGATCAATGTTCAACAACTATTGGTGTTAATTTAAAGACGATAGTTAACCTTGACTATCCATCTCAATCTTGTTAAATATCAATTTATATTCAATGTTTAAATTGTTGTTGATTAATATAGAGTGAAAAACTTACTTGAAACAAACCATAATCACGGACACCATCATATTCAGGTTGACTGATTGCTCCAGTGTTATATGAGCTTTCACCTTCAATTAAACACAGCCAATCAGCTAACTGTGATTCAGGAAAATTGTGAACACTCAACAATTGATTGGCAAGTTCACATCGATCATAAATTTTGCCTGCTGACAAATTAACCAACAATAGAGTAACAATTATTGGAAACATCAATAACCAGGAATCAATATCAATGTACACAATTCAAGAAAGTGAATCAAAATGGCTGTGAATCAAATAAAACAACCAAAGAAACGAGCTGATTATCGCTAAAGGCAATAAAATCTGGTAAAATAATGCTCAAGTCTGCCTCGTTCCTTCCAATGGTTAATAAGATGCCCATTTAGTTAAACATTATGGTTAATAAAAGCAAAGATAACATCATCGTAAGCTGTAAGGAATTATCGTCATCATAGAAGCATCAACAAATCAAACTAAATGTTAAAATGATCATAATCACTCAATCAACATAACCATGATTCTAGTGTTAAACTGGTGGTTATTAGCATTCATATAAGTTGATTCAAATTGATTTCCAACTGCAATCGTCCATTTTTTTACTTGAAATCAACAAAACTGAGAAACAATCATTAGTAACAGTTAATTAAATTGTATATTTGGTTAAACTGTCGTCTCTAAATGAATATATCATGGTTATTAGCATAGGAGAAGTTTATTCAACTTAACTGAAAAAAATGTAAATATTGGAAAAGTTATTAAATTCAACCTTCAAGCTCAGCGAAAACTCACCTGAAATTCTGAGTCCGAACAAATTAACATTGATAATAACCTTGATAGAGTCAGGATTAACTTGACTCTTAAAACTGGTTAATGATATCATTAATACAGAAAATTCATAACCACAATCAAGATACAGATCATGAAAGATAACATCAAATTTCAAGGCAATTAGCTGAATCAATCCGACAAGATAAAGAAACAGTTAATCTGCAATTCTTTGAATTTGATCACCGACTCAACAATTTGACCAAATGATTGGATTGTGAATTAAGTGGCTACTGAAGTCCACATTTGTTTGAAAAATCATTTGTAAACTAACCACAGCTTTTGATAATAATAGAGGCTAAGATGGTAAACAATAATCATTATGATAATGGGCAAAGAAAAGATGAGAATTGATTTACTGAACGTAAAAAATGGATAATTTTAAGTACAATTTATCAACTGAAAGATATTATTGAAAGCGTGTGCCAAGAAGAAGCATTTGATTTACAATTGAAAAGGTGATCATTAATAAACGAGATAAAAGTGAGTTTATTTCAATGTCTAATTAAAAGTCAATCATTGTCGTTAGTTTATTACTTGTGACGATAAAAAAAGTCCGTTGTCAATGCAATAACATCAATTGTTAACTCTCAAATTGTGCACCTTTTGAATGATGAATGAAATGGTTTAACCATCAACTAACCTCAGGGTATATTTAGGGGCACTCAAAGCTCACCATCATCTTCATCTTCATCTTTTTTCTCTCTCTTCTTCTTTCTCTTTCTTCCTCTTCTTCTTCCTCTTGTTTTTTACTTTGTAAGGTAAGACATGCAAATGCATTTTCCAGACGCGTGTAAAGATTATTTTTTATTATTTCTGTTGCTTCTTAACCTCGCTTTTTAAGTTATTTTGAAAGGTAACAGAAACACAGCTTCATTAAATGACCATCCAATGTGAGGTTAACCCAAAGGTCATTGGTCAAGTTGAGAAGGAAAATGATAACTCATATTTGACTGGACACAATAAGTAAGTTAATGCTTCTCCTGTTGTTTTGTTTCACTTTACCTGATCAACATGACAATTTAACATGATTCCTATTGTGACTTATCTTAATCAGTCCATTCAATTGGCAAAACAATTCATTTCCAAGTAAGACAACAGTTGATTGTTTTTACTGATTGTAACCCAACTTGTGAGGTAAATTGAAATTTTAACACAAAATAAACTGTTTGTCACACAAATCCAGTTAAACTCAAACAGAGAAACAAAAATACAAAGAAAAGGATAAAATCAGATTTAACTTGAAAAAAACCCAAATTTTTGTGGTTAGATTATCTTAACATTTTTATTGTCTCAATACTGGAAATATTGAAATGGGTAAAAAAGCCAAAAACAAAATACAATAAATTACCTTCGCAATGATTTTTTGACAAATTAAATGATAAAATTGGGTTCAAGCTTTTCCTTTCTTCTAATGAAATGCTGAGATATTAATACGTAAAAAATCGTGATTTAATTAAAACAGATTCAGTTAAATTTGGTTATGATTTAAAAGCTGAAAGTAAAAGGTGAATCCAATAACCTTTGGTAACATCACAGGGCGTTGTAAATGCAGCTGTAGCATCTTCATCATGATTTGTATTTGTAAATATTTCAACGCACAGTGAAAGTGAAATGAAATGCTTAATAATTACAATCCTGAAAATTAACCTAGTTTTCCGATTTACTAGTAAATCCAGATTTCTGATTCCATTGTTTCACGAACAGCTTTCGAGTTAAGATTATAATTTTCCTGCTATTAGTTAAATCATCAAAGATTTACAAAATTACATTATCATGTTGTAAATCACAGGCACACTTATGCCATTGATGACTTGACTCCAGACGTGTGTTGAGATACTTCGTTCAAGCTCGTCTTATTGACAAATTATCTTAATTTTGTTTCGATTTCAACTCTTTATAATTTTATATTTTCTTGTTGTTTTCATCAACTAAATTGTTATTAAGTTTTCATTTTAATTGTCATCATGAGATGTTTCTTGAATCATTAAACATTTCATGAAATCTCTTTGATCCTTTGAGTAATTAGATTTAGACTTCAAGTTTCATCTCAACTCTACTTTTCCTTGTTAGACTTAAATATTCAGTTTTAGATTAACATTGCTACTTAATCAATGATTAAAGCACCCAGAGGTTAAATGATTAAATTGTGTTAATTTGAAATCATTTATTTCAAGGTGAGGCTTTACATTTCATTTAATGACACATTTTGTGTTTCATTTGGCAACTCAAAGTGATTCAAATTACAACTAATAATATTATTATCTAAATACAAAACTTCAGTAATCAAAGGAGTTATCAAAGGAACCTTATAATGTAAATATCAATAATGATAACTTACTTTGTTTTCATATTCAAATTTTACTTGATTTTTGTCCAATTACATCCAAATTAAAGGTTATTATTACCAACAAAACCCAACCTAACAATAGTTATCATTGTATCATATTTTTCAATACATTTCTTGCATTTCAAATTGAAACACTTTCATTAGCTTCAATTACGTATAATCAAATCTCATTGAACTGTTTCAACTTGAAACAAACGACATTTCCTAGTTCAGTTTCAGTAAATCAACTGAAGGTTAAAATTTGAAAGCTGAACATTTCATGATCACAGATCAAGGTTAGGAGGAGTTAATCATTCAAACATTTACTTTGATACAACATTACTATAGGGTAAGAAGGCGGATTTCAAGCTGATCTGAGCAATTTCAATTTCTTCTTACATTTCATCATTTCCAATCAAATCATTTCAATGACCAAAATATTTGACCAAATTGTGCTAAACAAGGAAATTGAAAGGTTTACTGATTCAACAAATGTAACAATCAATCGATGAGTTTAGGTCACAATTCAGTGTCTCTTGAAATTCACCTCAAACCACTTTTAAGCTTTTTAAACTCTAAGCTTATCCAGTTTGACTAAAAAAATACGAGATTTAAAGACTTCTTGAAATGATAAAGGTACCAACATGATAGATTAAGATTTACAAGTTAATCAGGCTTGCGGCATGTTTAAATAGGGGCAAAAAATGAGCCAAAATTTACAGTTAAAACGTTTAAAGTTGACAAAATTTCCTAGCATTTAAAGCATAATGATGAATGAATAGCTTTCAATCGGTAAACCTCTAAACATTATTCAAATCTTGAGACTTTTACCTTTTTGCATGTTAGGCCTCACAAATTATTTTAATATTAATGTTATTACCTAAAGGAGTGTCTATTGATTGTTGTTAATTAAAGTTACCTCTGGAGGAACCAATTTCAACCTTTGCTATCCTTTCAATGAATCTTTTTGTCTTTTGAAAAACAAGGTTAACCGGAAACTTTTTAAAGGTTACATTGAACAAAAGACTGAACTGGTTGACTAAGGTCAATTTCATGTCCATCATAATTAGTATCATCATTAGATGAGTGTGGGAATGGACAAGGATTTAGTTCTATGAATAATTCAATTATTATCCGGTCCATTGGATTCACTTGTAAATAATATTTAGGTTTGGACTTTTAAATGACATTAAAGGTTGTTGGGTTGAGTAGTTAATGTTTATATCAAGACATTTTATTTTGTTTTTTGTTGTTATCAAATGTTAAAATTGTTAATACAAAAACCCGTTTATCAGCCCAAGTTATAATAGACAAAATTAGTTACAATTTACAATTTAAAGGTTAAACAATTGAAATTGGTTAATTTCATAGTCAACATTTGAAAGAGGTTTCGCGATGATCACAGATTCAATTATTAAACTGATCAACATGGTGAAGAGGATTTTCATGATTTGTGATTATCTTGTGCTTTCCATTGATTTCAATTGATTCCTTTACTCCAATCATATTTACAAGTTTAAAATGGTTAAAAATGTCTTTGGGCTTTTATCAATTTTGGCTTCTTTTTGTTGGTTTCATTTCCAGTTTAACCCGTTTAGTCTGACAAGAATTGTTTGTTTTATTTAAATGACCAATGCTGGCCATTTGGACTTTTCTTTGTCTCTATCCTTTCATCACTAGACATTCAATATGGCCACTAGTGAGTCTCAACATTCACCTCAACGATCCATTAATTTGTAACCTGTGAGTATCCATCGTAGGTTGAATGGAAGGGCTGGTAATAAGAGTTAACACAGGAAGAATCGTATGAATTATTGCCATAAACATGGTTATGGTGTGAATGGTGATTGTGATGAATCTGAAGAGGAAAGACAAGAAATTAATAAATTTAATCAATTAGGATTCGAGACTTGCTTCACTGAAACTTGGCCTTTTAATGCGACCCAATCAACCTTAACCGTCATCTTGATTACATTAAAAGGAGATTCTCATTGAACCAATCATTTTCTCACAACATTACAATTTAAATTAACTTGTTCCCAGCGAAACGCAAAACAATCAAATTGATTAAATTGATCCATTTGAAGGTTTGTTTTGAAAGCCTTTTTTAACATGAAACAAATCATTTGCAAAGCTACTGAGAAGCCCTTTTAAAAGGTAAAACCAGAGACTCTGACCGGAAATTTGACCATTTTGACCTCAACTAAAAACCAATTTATCATCTAATTGGTCTAATCGTAATACAAAGTCAGAGCAAAACAAAAAACGGAAACAATCGCTTTTACCTAAACATAAGATTAACCTTTAAGATTTGTTTTTACCTCTAAAACTGAAGATTATGCATAACATTGAAATTATCACTTTATTTACAATGATAATAGAGACACACCTTGATAATAATAAAGGTTGAAATGGGCAAAATAAGGTAAAAATAAAAGTGAATTTTGGAGTGAATTGAAAGGTGAAATATTTTTGAAAAGCGCTTCTTAAATGGTAGCTTTTGGCTTTTCATTGATGTCTTTCAATGTGTAAATTAGATGTTTACAGAGACAGCAATATAACTGATCATCATTTGAATCAGTGAATTGTACCAAATCAATTACTTTTTGGTTTATTAACAGCTTAAAAATTTACAGTTGATGTTAAATTTTGATGCCATGTTTTTTTGTTCTCGGTCAATATTTACCTTACTATTTACGGTCAACATGGGCAACGATTTTATACCTTAAGCTTACTTTTTTTTGGCTCAATGTGCAGTTTATTTGGTAAGCTAAATTGTAAAGGTAATTCACTAACTGTTAACTTTAAGCCCCTATTTTTTGTTCAATCAAATTTGCCTCCAGTCATTTAATCATCAGTCATTATCAACATCTTGCTCTCACTTAATCCACGCGTTCATCTTTTTCTGCCTTTTCTAACTATTATGTTGGTACCTTCATCAATTAAGAAAAGTTTAAGATAAATTCAATTGAGATTAGGAAAAAAATTACCAAAAATTCAATTATTTTATATTGAAAAATGGTAAACAAAATGCTAAAAAAAGTCTAATTGCTTGGCATGTCATTGAAATACAAATTTAGCGCCTAAATGATAAGAGAGGTGAAGATGAGTTGCACATTTGAACGCCATCTTTAACTCTTTGATCGGACAATCTTTGTCATTAACACATAGTTAAGTAATTTTTAATTCACTTGATATCATTTAACCACTAATTACAATTTAATTATCCTTAAAAGGTTAAATGGCTCAAATTACTCCACTTATGTAGTCAATTGAAGTCCACTTGGATCAAATTTAAAGACAAGTTAAAAGATTTAAGGACCTCTCTGTGGTTAATCTTAGTTACCGGCTTTATGCTTTCAGTAAGTGATTGTGCTTTTTGTTTTGTTTTTGTATTTGTTTTACATTTTCAATCTGATTTGTTCAGAGAATCTCCATGAATGGAATTGAGATGATTAACCCAGGTTTCAAGTGATTATGATTCTATTGTGATGTGTAATGTCCCTCGAGATTTTAATGAAACATGTAAGTCAAACATTTATAAATCTGAGTCTTATAGTCTTGCTAGTAACCCTTTTGTAAACAACAGGCTAACCGAGCCTCTAGTATGAACTTTTATTTTCAATTATTAATTCATTCTGTATCTGATTTTTCATTAGGTTAAACTTACATTATCATTTCGGATCCATTTTGTGTCGACGATATTTTCCTTGTTAATATTTTCACAGATCAATATTTCCTTTGGCGAAGTACAATAGACTGGATTAATATAAGTCTCATTTGATGCTGATGTAAGCGAAGACGTTAATGATTGTCCATTTATTAATTTAATTTCAACTGTTGATTCCATGGAATGGCCACTATTAATTTCATTATTATTATTATTGTTAACAGTATTGACTCCATTTACGATGGATCCAGGTGATAAAAGTTGCATCATTGAATTATTATTATCAGATTGTTGGTAATGTTGATTGGCAGTAACATTTGTATTAACATTCATTGTAAGATTATCACCTTCACTGAGCAAACCTTGTAAGTAAGCAATATATTCAATGGCTTTCTGTAAAGTTTTCACCTTTGATAATCTCTTGTTACGATTTGGTTCATTAACATGTTTCCTTAGGGTTGCAAAAGCACTGTTGACCGCTTGGACCCGACGTCGTTCCCGAGCATTACGACGAGCTACAAGGTGGGGAGGTTTTTCACGATGAGGAATATGTTTGTAGCTAGATTTTCCAGTTTTCCTGTAACAAGCAAAAGACAAGTAAGTATCGGTATTGTTATGATTGTTTGTCATTTCATTGCAAAGCTTTTTACTAAACAAATCTAATCTCTATTTGTTCTAGAGTAAAACAAACTGACAAATTTGATTCATAGTTGGTGGTCAACGAAAAAGAAAAGAAAGATCTCAAAGTGAGTTAATGTCCACTGTCAATCTTGTTCAAACAAAAGTTACAATTGTAAGACGTTGTTTGCTGGACAAATTGAGATGACAACGTAAAACCGTGTTTCTACCCTTTTCCTTGAAATGTTTCAATCTGGCAACCTAAATTGAAATAACAATTTTAATTGACCTTTCAACAGGGAAAATAAAGTTAAAGCAAAGTTGTAATTGTTGACATTAACATGAAAAAGCTACAATTATTTGATTAAATTCAAGCTTTTCTGTGCTTCATGAAAGTTAATAAGTTTACAGCAAATTTGATCAGTAAGATGTTAGATCCTAATCAAAGTATAATTATCTGAAAAGTGAGGAAATTCTGAGAAGCTCAATTTTTTCTGATTGATTTCAACACATGAATTAAATTACAATTTTTCTACTTTATTGCCTTCTTCTTCTCAATAATAATATTATGAATTATTAAATTATGTTCATTATTATTATTATCATTTTAAGTGCGCAAATTCAATACAAAACTATCAACCTATACAAGGTATGAACATGAAACGATAATATCTGAACGATAAATTTTATAGGATTTTGTTTAGCCAGAATTAATAAAGATTAAAGGGAAAAAAAGATGTAGAAAGAGTTGAGAAATGAAAATGAGAAAAATATTAAGCTTAATTATATTGAATGTTGAAACAATTTAGTTGAGGCCTTCAATGGTTTTTCATTGAGGTAAAGATGATTATGGTGAGAGGAGAAGAAGATGATGATGATAGAGTGAAGATGAAGATGATGAAGTAAAAATTAAGGTTGGGCAAGTAAAGCATGGCAGTAGCATGAGCCTGCAAGCAATTCAGTATTAATACTTTTCTGTTAATTTTACTTTTTCCTTCATGATAATTTTTTGCTTTTTGCAAAGATTTCAATCAATGATTCAATTTAATTGTTTCATTGATTCACAGCCTTTTCATGTATAATTTGACAAAAATGGGATAAATTTAGGTCTTAATGTTAAATTGCCTTGACAATTTACAGGAAAATCTTGTAAATCAAAGTTAATCACAAAGTTAACCATTGATTTATCGTATTAAATTAAATTTGTCTGTGTGTTTTTACTCTGTGGCAGGTTTACCAATCAAAGTTGTTATTTATTGTTGCCTATTTCAATTGAATGATGCTCATTGTAATTCATTGAACATTAAATATGGTTATGAATGTTTAACTAATTTTACCTTTTCTTGATTCCTTCAGATGCAGTTGTTGAATCTGTTTTACTCGGATCGAGTCTAACTTGGTTAATTGTTGTTGTTGTTGAATCACTTGAATAATGGCAAGTCGTTGTGGATACTGAAATTAAAGATGAAAGTGAAGATGAAGAGGAAGATGACGAAGATGATGGCGAATTAACTGTTGGCGATGAAAGAGGCTGTGAGGTGATCAAACTGTTTGGAAACTGTTCATAACTATAATCAATTCCTTGGCTACAATTTTCATCATAACTTGTTGATGTAATCGTTGAATCTCCAGTAATCAAATGTTGCGCTATCGATGGAGTCCATGTTTGATAATTTGATGCTGATGCTGATGTTAAATCAGGCTTAATATCTTTCATCATTTTGGTTAACTTAATGGCACGCTTTGGATATTTGACTGTTGCAATGTGTTGGATCGAGCAAAAACAAAATGAAAATGAAGGACAAGAAAGAAGAAGAAGAAGAAGAGAAAAGATGAAAACAAAAAGCAAATGAATTTACGTAAATTCAAATGATGATGATGGTGGTGTATAAAAGTACAACGTTAATGATTATTTAATATTATCAAGTAGCAAAAACAACGAAAAAGAAACAAGAAAAAGGTAAAAGCAAAGTGATGAGGATCATTTGACAAGTTAAAATGATGTTAACTGGTAAAAGGTAAAAATAAAAATGCGTAAAAAAGTCGTAGCCTTAAGGTTAATAACAACGATTGTTGGAGCAGCAACAAGAAGAAAAAACACAACGAGAAGGAGAGGAACATGGAAAGGCCTTACATTTTGGTTACTTTGCAAACACGCGTCTAGTTAATTCTGTGTTACCAAAGTAACAATATTACATTATGATAATATCATTATTATTATCATGAGAATCTGTGTCCGCCTCTTTACCCTATAATAATATTGAAATAACAAAGTAACTTTATCTGTTTTTGTTGCTCCTCCTTAACACAATTGTGTTCAAATAGCTTGGCTTATCTTGTAAACTTGAAGCTTTCAGTTTCACCAAACTTTACATGATAATTTCAATGAGTAAACTCTAATGAGTCTTTTTTTCCTTATAATCTTTTCAGGTTAACATCAACTTGCAGCAATCAAACCAATTCATCGTAAACTGTTCAGATTATTCAACGCCCGTTTCTTGCTTCAAATCTTCGTGATTCCCTCGATTTCCGGATTTCCATTGCTGCTAATTAAACCAATTTCCGTTATTTTAACCAAAATTAATTTTAAAAGTTTGGTCATGTCATTGACTTTTAAGACGTTTGGTTATAACCTTTTTAAAAGAGCGATTACGAGGTTACCTTGTAAATTTAGCTTCTTGTTGTTGGATGAAGCTTCAGCTGCTTGACCTTACCTTTAAAATGTCCTCTTCGCTACTTTCCAATTGTATCATAATTGCAATTTTTTCACTCTACCCTTCATTATAGTTGATTAGTAGTTGACTGTTTAACGATTCAATTTACATTGATTAACCTTTTACCAAATTTAATCATGTTTCCTCTCACTATCGCACACTTTTACAGTTACCAATAGTTGAGGTTGAATAATCAAATCACTAATCATCTCCTGTTTTACACACTATTTTATAATTGGTCAGCAAAAAAAAGAGATTCACTAATTTGGTTCATTTAATAAGATATTGATTGATTGATATCAAACATTCGTAGACATTCAATGGACCAAATGAATATTAAATCTCTATTATCAATTTAAATTAGTCAAAGTGTTGATGCAATGTGAATTGAAAAAATTGTTTATCAACCTTTCGTAACCATCGCCGTTCACCTGCTTCCCTAAGGGCATCAGACTCGTTGCCTTCACCTTTGCATCTTAACATCGTCTTAAGATCCACCATTCTCCTCATCATCTTTGCTATCATTTTCATCACTTTCATCTTTGTTCAACTTTCCCTTTCAATGAGCAGTTGATCTAAATAGTCATTGTATAGTTAACTAATTAATCCTCACTTTTGCCTTTCCAATCACGAATTGAAACATATTTTTCAATATGAATTGAAATGCAAGAAATGTATTGAAAAATATGATACAATGATAACTATTGTTAGGTTGGGTTTTGTTGGTAATAATAACCTTTAATTTGGATGTAATTGGACAAAAATCAAGTAAAATTTGAATATGAAAACAAAGTAAGTTATTATTATTGATATTTACATTATAAGGTTGCCTTTGATAACTCCTTTGATTACTGAACTTTTGTATTTAGATAATAATATTATTAGTTGTAATTTGAATCACTTTGAGTTGCCAAATGAAACACAAAATGTGTCATTAAATGAAATGTAAAGCCTCACCTTGAAATAAATGATTTCAAATTAACACAATTTAATCATTTAACCTCTGGGTGCTTCAATCATTGATTAAGTAGCAATGTTAATCTAAAACTGAATATTTAAGTCTAACAAGGAAAAGTAGAGTTGAGATGAAACTTGAAGTCTAAATCTAATTACTCAAAGGATCAAAGAGATTTCATGAAATGTTTAATGATTCAAGAAACATCTCATGATGACAATTAAAATGGCAACTTAATAACAATTTAGTTGATGAAAACAACAAGAAAATATAAAATTATAAAGAGTTGAAATTGAAACAAAATTAAGATAATTTGTCAATTACTTATACTTCAAGTCAACACATGAAGTCTGGAGTGTGCCAAGAAGAAGCATTTGATTTACAATTGAAAAGGTGATCATTAATAAACGAGATAAAAGTGAGTTTATTTCAATGTCTAATTAAAAGTCAATCATTGTCGTTAGTTTATTACTTGTGACGATAAAAAAGTCCGTTGTCAATGCAATAACATCAATTGTTAACTCTCAAATTGTGCACCTTTTGAATGATGAATGAAATGGTTTAACCATCAACTAACCTCAGGGTATATTTAGGGGCACTCAAAGCTCACCATCATCTTCATCTTCATCTTTTTTCTCTCTCTTCTTCTTTCTCTTCTTCCTCTTGTTTTTTACTTTGTAAGGTAAGACATGCAAATGCATTTTCCAGACGCGTGTAAAGATTATTTTTTATTATTTCTGTTGCTTCTTAACCTTGCTTTTTAAGTTATTTTGAAAGGTAAAAGAAACACAGCTTCATTAAATGACCATCCAATGTGAGGTTAACCCAAAGGTCATTGGTCAAGTTGAGAAGGAAAATGATAACTCATATTTGACTGGACACAATAAGTAAGTTAATGCTTCTCCTGTTGTTTTGTTTCACTTTACCTGATCAACATGACAATTTAACATGATTCCTATTGTGACTTATCTTAATCAGTCCATTCAATTGGGAAAACAATTCATTTCCAAGTAAGACAACAGTTGATTGTTTTTACTGATTGTAACCCAACTTGTGAGGTAAATTGAAATTTTAACACAAAATAAACTGTTTGTCACACAAATCCAGTTAAACTCAAATCAGATTTAACTTGAAAAAAACCCAAATTTTTGTGGTTAGATTATCTTAACATTTTTATTGTCTCAATACTGGAAATATTGAAATGGGTAAAAAAGCCAAAAACAAAATACAATAAATTACCTTCGGAATGATTTCTTGACAAATTAAATGATAAAATTGGGTTTAATTTTTTCCTTTCTTCTAATGAAATGCTGAGATATTAATAAGTAAAAAATCGTGATTTAATTAAAACAGATTCAGTTAAATTTGGTTATGATTTAAAAGCTGAAAGTAAAAGGTGAATCCAATAACCTTTGGTAACATCACAGGGCGTTGTAAATGCAGCTGGATCATCTTCATCTTTATTTTTATCCTCATCTTTACCTTTATCTCTAACTGAAACCATCAATGTAAAGGTTTAGAAGAGCAAAGATGATAATCACCTTTTGTTGATCATCACAGTTACTTTAAAATGTATGTAAACAATGAAATGATTTACAATCTAAAATCATAATCATAGCTTTTTATATCGGTCAATATTTAACTGTCATTTCAATTTACAAGGCAACCCAATAAGCTTGAATTTTGCTGGAAAAATAATAACATTTTAAATCATTTATTCATTTATTTCTCAATTATTTAGACTCTATTTTAGCGTCTAGTGTTGAAAAATTTGGTGCCAATTATTTGGTCCTTTACAACAATATTCAAAGCAATTTACCAATTCAATTTATCATCACCTTAAAATTAGGTTATCTTCTAATGATCAAAATACTTCAAGATTTAGGTAATTGAATAAGCAAAGTCTGTGTAAATATTAATCGAAAGGTAAAGCTTTTTAAACTTGAATTGCACACAATATTGACCTAGTTTTGATATAACTAATAGGTTTGCAGTTTAACATTGGTTTTCAATGAAAATAACAATCAAAAGGACCCATGAAAAAACTGTTTTACCGTTTAGAATGATAAACTTTTTCAATTATAAATGTTAGCTTTCGAGATTGGGATTCCCTTATTGATGAAAGGTTATCTTTGATTGTATCTGCAATGAAATTTTTCCCCGATTTAGATATTGTTTATAATTATCTGTTGAAGCAAACCGTAATTCATAAGTTGCTCAAAAGCAGAATTCAATTTGAGATGAGCTTTTCTTTTCCAACTTGCTCAAGATCAACAGATCGATTAGACTTTCATTTTATAAGTATACGTATATTTGCTTATTATAAGCGCTAACATGTTTCTATCGGCTTAATTATTCATGGTTATAGATTGATTCAGAGGCAAATCTGAACTTTTGATGTTAAATTTTAAGTTGTCGCACTTATCCAGAGGGGAAACTCAACTGTCGATGTTTTTATGGTTGAAGTTGGTCATTTTGATTCGTTTCATTCGTGAACTGACTTTTGCAGCTATTAACGAGCTTGTCAATCAACTGTTAACTGTCCACAAAATCAAATTAATCACTATTGACTGGTTGGTGGCGTTCAATTGAAGGCAAAGTTTATGCAACACAAGAGTATAAAGTAAATCAGAATATTGAGGTGTCCAGGATTTTATACAAATTAATGGTAAATTAATCGATATTCAACAAGATTAAGATTGATTGTCAAGGTTAACAATCGGCTTTAGCTATTAACAAACATTAATTCACATTATAAGGGCCCAATCAAGGTTAATATCTAATTGGGTCTACCTATTTATGCAAATAGGTTAAGTGTTAAGACGGTGATACAGCTGATTTTGATACCGTTGTAAATATATTGATTATCCCTAACGCGTTTACCTAATGAAGCAATAAGCCTTTGTTTATCAAATCACATTCAATTTAATATCGATAATATAAAGATATTTTTGTTCTATATTCTTGTAATTAGTAATTTAAACAAAGCAAATTAGTGCAGATATATGAATTTGTGTGTTGGATACAAGTTACACGAAACAATTGTTGGCTGTGATACGCAATTTGGACTGCATTAATATTAAAATTGGATAGATTTTAATAACCTGAAATAAATGTGTGCAATAGGTAAGTTTAATATAATTTGATTGTACAAGTTAACTTATTAACTAAGCTCAAAATTGGCTTGATATTGATGATTTATTGATGTAAATCACGATAAAATGATTAAAATGTGATTCCATTTTGTTACTCAATCAATCATTTTGAATTCAATGTAAGTTTAGCGTATATCTTTATCTTTTTCACCCTCTTTTTACTCTAGTTTTCATCACCGACAATCTATAAGGATTTACATGAGGATTGAATAGAGAGTACAACATGGCGATTGAGGAAAAACGTTTGCTGTGAATTTTAAATACATAAACTGTTAGTTTATATCATCATCATCACCATCATCTTATTATTATCATTGGGATAGAGTAAAGATGAGCTTTTGTCATGCAATTTGGTCTCAAAAAATTGTAGCTGTTTTTGCCAATTTTTAACACGTCAAATTGTACCCAAAAAAATCCTTTATCATTGCACATCACTTAATCATCATAACGCCCTCATCATTACCATCATCAACATCATCATATCTTCGACACACTCATACATGGAGACTTGAGGCTATCAATTAAAATGATTGGAACTTAATTGCTCAAGACAGTTTGAGGTCTGGAATAAGAAATGATGAGACAACATTAATTTTTAGTTTTTTTCTGTTTAATTACAGCTTATATCAGGTTAATTTAAACTTTATTAGTTGTAGGTAAGCCAACAAGGTTGGGTCAATTAAAATTTGTCAGCAAAATTTAATTGATTAATTTCCTCACATCGTCTTTGATTGAACGACTAAAGACCTGAAATATTGCTGGAATATTATATTGAAACAAATTTTGGATCTACTTTGATATTCACGAGCCATTGATTGGGCCTACAATGAATCGATGCTTTCTTCGAACCTTCGATGATGTTTTGAATAACCATGGCATTTCGAACCAATATATTGTCCAGAGATTTTATAGGAATCAACTATCAATCGGCATTTCTTGAAACTTGGTCAATTAACCCGGCCATTTTCAATCAGTAATCGTAGCTCTTGGTGTGATCTTTGATTATCCATAAATCAATACATGTTAAGTATCATTATCACTTCAATTTATCAGAAATGTTTACTTTGTTTAATTGATATTTTGACATTTTTTGATCATTAAGAAACCATTTGAGGTCAAGGTTTGAAGCAAAATTTCATTTATTTTACAATTTTCAATATTTCAAGACTTGAAGCATAGTGTAACTTGTCATTCAAAGGCTTTAGATATTAACTTTATAATTGTTAATTGCAATTTGAAAAATTTGCCATCAAAATTGTTAAAGTGTCGTTTGTGATATCTAAAAATTTGTAACATTCAATTAGAGCCAATCTGAAGTAATTAATCAGTTAATGATGAATTTAGCAACCCAACCTTATAATTAGTAAGAATGAAAGAAAAAATGATGTTTTCTTAAACATTTTTAAGACAGAAAAGATTAACAATTAACATTGTTGTCTCATCCATGATTAGTGTTTTCAAGTTGAAACAATAATTAACTTTGAATCAATCTTATTCATTTCTTTAGATGAACTATTGGTGGACAATTAACACACAACTGGGGTGAAAAAGTTCAAACAAAAACAAAATAAATTGCCGCAACTGTATTTAAACTGGTTTACAGACGATTCAGCTGATTTCTAACCACCAATCTCAACAACAAACATCTATGGATTAATTAATCACACAATCGCTAAGTCTTGGATCATCCAGAGATAATCATAATCCTGTAAACCTAACATAACACTTTCAACGAGAACTTTAAAGTAAGCTTTGCAAATATCAAAGACTGTTACAGACTGTATTTCAGAAGAGTGTTAAAAGGTCAAAAAATCTTGATGGAATTAACGGAAATGTTAGTGTTCAACAATTAGTATCGTACTTGATTTGACAAGGAAATGATAGCTTTGAGGTGATTTAAATTTAATTTGCTTTGATTTTCTCTGTTTTCTAGGTGCCAGTCAACAATCAAAACACGGTATGAACTACAAACCTATGAAAAAAGTATATCAAAATGGGAGCAAAACAAAGGACTAGACAAGGAAGGAAGGAAGAAACGGCGAAAGGGAGGAAGAGAAAGATGATGATGGAGATAAGTGATGAAGAAAGGTTAACTATCATTCAAAATTGGTCCCTAAATCGTGAAGATAAAGATAAAGGGAAAGTTAATGCTGAAGTGGAGGAGTAGGCCGAGTTTTGATTTACGTTGGATTGTTTATGATGATAATAAAGGTCCTATGGAGTTTAAAAACAAAACGAGCAGATGATAGTAATGCTTGTCATCATTATCATCATTTGTTGCCTCTAAATTTATATTGTACCTCATTGACCTTAACCATAGAATGATTATAATCATAATTATTATGGATCTCTTCATGGGCGTGAATCCGTTTAAAGATTAACCCGAAAAGCGTTTTGCTTCATCAGTACACTCGATGGAAATGATCAACATTTGGACAATCCATTGATCAACTCAATGTAAAGCCAATAAAGAATCAATGGACCAGCAATGGACAAAAGCTTACCATGATTTAGCTGATATAGTTACGCTTATTGTTTGTATTGATGGATACACTTTTCTGTTAACTTGATTATCTTCAATTAATGCTCATTAATTAAGTGCCAATTAAGTTACATTAATTGATTAAAGTGGTAAGACAGGTATATACGCGTGTATAACTTGTGACTTTATTGAATATTGAACAGAAATAATAATGTATCTCTTTCTATTTGTTTCATTTAGATTTGAATCAACTTACAATTCATGGGCTTGGCAATTTAAGATTATTTGACTTTTTCATTCTCCTCCGGCATTATTTATCTTCGGGCTAATTTCGTTTTCTATATTTCTTAGCCTTTTCTTGCCAATATTTGTTGCGTACACACATACACATTACATTTGTCTCAAAGGCATGTGACAGTTGCAACTTGATTCAACAATTAGGCTTGATTGATTAAACATTGATTACGAACTCTTACGTTACCTTCCCATTTTTTTGGTTCCAACTTTTGCCTTTATATTGACAATTATTAATCTAAATATTATTGTAACCAGATTTGGCTTTTCTTGTTATCATTAAACCAAAATTGAGCTACAAATCAAATATAAATTTCTAATAATTTTACTCTTTAAATTGTGTTCAACGAGAGACCTACCGCTGTTATGTTAATAACTACCTTTAATGACCAAGAATGCAAGTTTTATGAATCACTTAATGACAACTCAATGATAGTAACTGAAATTTTTATCAGATCAGATTTAATAGATCTTAATTTACAATTATACTTGTTGTAAATTAATATTCACTGTTGCTTGATCACTGCATTAAAATTGTGAATTGATTGAAATAATAGTTCTGAATGAATCTGGTTCTGCCTTTTGGTCAATGGAGGTGTTTTCAAAATATTCATCAATAATCAATTTTACATGTTGAAGAATGAGGAAACGAAAACAAATGAAGCTTTTCCAATTTTTAATTACAAATCAATCAGTCGATCATTTGAAATCTTTTTGTAACACATAAGCAGCAGAGGGTTCAATCCTTTTATAGTAATTTTCTTTTGTGTCGATTATTTCGAATCCGAATTTTTTGTAAAAAGTTAGAGCTGTGTCATTGTTAACTTGGACATGGAGAAACAGACCATCGAGATTGTTTTCTTGAGCATAATTGAGAACATGTTTCAACATCAGTGTACCTAATAAGGGATTTGAAGTAAAATTCAAAATTAGTGAACAATATTAAAAGGAAACAGAGAAACATACCTATGCCAAGTCTTCGATATGGAGCCAAACATCCTAAAGTCATAATATAAAGTCTTCGTTGATTATTAGATGTGTCAATGCGGCAGCAAACACCACCAACCACGATGTCATTATAAAAAGCGATTTTGGCCAATTCACCAGCGACGAGGACATCTTTGTAAAACTTGTCGTTGTAAATAACAGGGAAAACAACTTGATTAATCCGTCGAAGTAGCTTTATATTATGTACAGTAATAGAACCTAATTCAGTACGACCACGTTTATTAAACTCTGGCATGTTAAGCTCAATTGTCAATACAATTAATGAATAATAATTACAGAATATAAATCAAAACCAAGAATAAAAAATACGATATATTCAAACTAAATTGCTTGCTGTTTTGTTTTTCAGCTGACAATTTTTCTCAATATGTATGCGGCGACATCTGGTGTAATTAAATTGCCTCAAAACGCGATGTTCAATAAAGATTTGCATTTGAAAAAAACTTCAATCGTCTATTTAACAAACTTTAAATTGCTTTATTGTCTGTGAATTAATTTAATGAAAATGAATTCTTTAAATTAGAATAAGAACCGTGGATTACATTGACAATAATTTCACACTTAAAGATGAATAAATTGTGAGGAAATGAAAACATTGAATATTTGCGAAACGTCTTTATTTACAAGATACAAATGATGATTGAAATTAATCAATGCAATAATTGTAATACACTTTTTCTAGAAATTCATTATTTTAATACATTATATTATTACATTATATTACAGGATGCATGGACCATCTTTATACAAATGATAATCATTTAATTTTCGTCTTTGACTTTTGATGGTTTATTATTGCTAATACCATCACCTCCTTCTTCAACACTATCGCTGTCACCATCACCATCTTCATCATAATCATCATCACCAGGAACTTCTTCATTCATTTGTTCCAATCTTTCTAATTTCTTTTGCAATTCTTGATCATCTAAATCGGTAACAACTTTAGGTGCTTGTTTAATAGAGAAAATTCCTCCTGCTTTTGTAATTGATTCTTCTATTTCTTTTAAGGCTTTATCTAAAGTTGCTAAACCAAATTCTCTTTCCATAGTGTGAGTTGTAACAACATATGATGGAGGGGCTATCAAATTAATCTTGATTGGCATCTCTGGTGAACCACAAGCTATTCCTGCACGTAAGGCTGCTTTAACAGCATCGATACCTTCATAGGTACAACAGCCAACATCAATATCAGCTCTAACTTTAACTGCTTGTGGTGTCAATTTTCTTTTAATGTGAGTAACAAGAGCCTCTCGTGTTTTGTCATCAAGATCACATTCATCCAATACTGAAGCATCGTTGACAACAAGCTTGAAATAGTCAAATGCACAGCCTTGTTTCTTGTATTTTTCATCAAAATACCATGCTGTACGTTCATAAAGATCCTCTAATTGATCATCAGTTTGATAACCAAGTATTTCAGCCACATGGCGAAGAATACTATTAACAGCTTTACTTTTGGCAAATTTTTCTTCACATCTAACTATATCCTCAGGTGAAACTCTTCTCTTTGATAAATCAATGTATCCTTTATCTTTGTCAACACGGATAACAACTACACATTCACTTCGTCCAATTCTGATAAGTTTGTTGATTGATCTGATACGACGACGAGAAAGTTCAGAAAGCAGAATCATGCCTTCAATGTTGTTATACTCCAATAAGTCAACGTAAGCACCCATCTCGGCCACTCGACGCACCATGACCATAGCAACATCTTCTACTTCAGGAAATTTTTGTTTATAAAAACGACAATTTAAATTAGGCATTTTAACTTAAATAAAATAAACAAACACTGTTCAGTAAGAGCTGAAGAATAGGTAAATCAGATATCTACTCTGTTTTTGTTATGTCAATGAGTTTAAATTCCAAACAATTATCTTAATTTCAACACTAAATGAACCAATCGCAGTTTTTAACGGAACAGATGTTATTTTCCGTTTCCGAGAGATGAATAGGGAGACGCTTGAGCTCCCCTGGTAAGGGATCACCGCCAGATTTAAAAAAATTGTTTTTGATACAAAATACAATATTCATTGTTTCTTAGGGAAAGGCTGGTTAGAATTAAAGGATTTTTATCAAAGAGTAATATTCTTTGATTTTCATTGAAGGTTACTCTATTATGATGCAAAGGAAGTATTATATATTGTTAAACCAATGCTTCATCTATGCTTGAGTAAAGTGTTTAAGTTGTCTGGTGTCACGATATTTACTCAATTTACAATCGTCAATTTTACTTATAATTCCAGTCTGAAAAATCTTGATTAAACTGTAAACGTTGTGTTTCTCTAGTCTTGCTTCAAACAATTATGTAAACTTTAACTTGAAATGTTTGTATTACTTTACAAACATTATCAGATCAGTCTTTCGTATCTTATTTGCTGATAAACGAAACGTCACTGAACTCGGTCCAGGTCTTGAAATTTCATTATTTGTTGATATAAAATTGGACCGATGAATGAAATCAGAAAAATTTTTGGTACAATTTGTATTTTTAAGAGTTACATGAAAGAGGTTTAGCACAACAGAAAGAATAATCGGTGAAATAAGTTTAAGGATATGAATTGTTGATGAAAAAATGACAGAGATGTGTTAAATTTATAAATGATGATTAAGAATGACTTTCAAATATTTGCTTAGCAAAGTTAAGTAAAGAAAGGTAATGTTATTCACTTTCTTGAGATCCACTCAAAGTGTTTTGATTTTTGTTATTTAAGAGACAAATGCATTTTTTGAAACACTATTAAAATATGAGTGCAAATTGCTTGTCTCTGGCGAAGAGTCTTAAGCTGGATCTAGTTTTTTTCAAAATTACAATGATCAGCATTAAAGACTCAGTCTATGTTTTGTTTATTTGTGAGTTCTTGTAAAAGCGACATATGACTCTTATCTTCGCTGGTGGATGGTAGGCCTTTGTCTTCTTGCTCTTTGATTGAAGAAACTTCGCCATTATCTTCAATACGGTCATCAGATGTAAGTCTATTGAACTCGATTTCTTCAGAAAGATTGTCAACATTTGGCCCAAGTCCTTTGTGAGATGGAGCGTAAAGAATCAATAAAACCACGACATAGTTATTCCACATAGCATAAACTGTTGTATACATGGCACTTGTCCATTGAAGCTCAAGTAATTGAGTTTCATCCTCCCAATGATAATTTTCATCAACGAATTGATTAGTAATGAAAGCTGAGATAGTTATACCAGCGCAAATTAAGGTAGCCCAGAGCAGGAACTTGAATCTGTAAATAATTCCTTGATAAACTAGTCGTCGAGTACTTGACATTGAAGGAAGTGAGCTTTGTTTCGAAGATAATGTGGCTCTTACTCTCGAGACTTGGTAGCAAAGGAACAAGAAAAATGCGGTGGCTGAAAGTATTGCTAAAAATATGAAGATAATAGCAAGATTAGATTCAACTTCCCAAATTGTGAAAAAAGGGTTTATCCATTGTATTCCACGTTCAATCGAATCAAAGAGAAATAAAGCTGTTGAAGCGCTCAAAATAATTGCTAATTGTTTGGCATAATATGATAGACAAGATCTTTGAACTCCATCTAAAAGATGTTCTCCTGTGAAAATGCACCAAAATGATAAAAGACCACTATAAAGGATTCCCTGACGAATATCACTTAGAAAGTTCATGAAGCCCAAGTCGTAAAACAAGGATAGATATTCGATTGGTGCATTGAGTTGAGTCATCACTACTCCAAGCATGATTATTGTTCGTTCGAGTAAAGTAGTTTTTCTGGAAAGTTGCTGAAGACGATTCCAATACCAAATTAGTGTGAGTAAAGTAATAACAAAGAAAACGGTTTTCAGAGATAGCCAAACTTTTGTGAAGCCACCATTCTGATGAATAGCAGCCAAGTTTAAGTCAGTCAGTTCAGCATGTCGTAAAGCTAAGAAAAATGAAAAAATAATTATATACTGAATTCAACAATGGATAGGGTAATTAGGTAACTTACTAGGAGATGATACAATCTGGATGTTGATTAGATAATAATCGTAGAACAGCGATTGCAATTCAAATAGATGAACCAAATCACAGTCATATCCTTGTTGATCTTCAAGCTTAAAAAAAAGAGTTAATTTTTAGTTTAAAATTGAAAAATAACTCAAAAAATACATACCTGAGGTGTATTAATCCGACAATTTAAATTTCTTTTCAAAGGATTCTTCGAAGCAATTATTTTCCAATCATCATCGCCAGCGTCTTTGGCAGCCAATGTTACTTTCATACCAATTTCTTTCTTGATAGTTCTCAGATCGGCAATGGAAGTGCTTGAATCATCTGAAAAACTTCGATAACTGATTTCAAAAGTCAAAAGTGCTATCAAATTGGACATCCATCGGGAGTAATCAAGCCTGACATTCTCTCTAGCTAATGGTATTTGGAAAGCAAAAACAATCGGCTTATTGCTGGGGAAAAGAGAGATAAAAATTATAAATTGGTAAAAGAATCATGAGGAATGTTTAAAAAAATTTGCTTACCTCTCTTTGGGTTTTTGACAGTTCTTTGATTCTGTGTTACCATTCACTATTTGATGAAAGGGTATAGCCAATTTTTCATAGTCATCGGGAACACACATAGTAGCCGTTGCCTGTTCAGTATTAGCTGGAGCTGGAGCTGAATTGGTGAGAGAGATTTAAGAAAAATCATGGATAAATAAAGAATAATGAATTTATGTGAGAATAAAAGAAGGAAAACAAGATGAAGAAAGTTGATAAACAAAAGAAACTCACCAATAAAAGCACCAATCAGGAAAGAAACAAATTGTATCACTAAAATGATGAAAAGAACAACCGCCAATTTACGATTGGAAAGATTCTCAAGAATTGTTCCAGCCATGATTAAACCAAATAAAAAATTTGATTAAAGGAACAAGAATTTGTTGTTTACTGAAAAATATCAAGAGTCTTATTTGAATAACGAATTTTATACTCTGCAAGATCTCTGATTGGTCAAATCTCATTGGCCAAAGAGAATGGCGCTTTTTTCATTTATCCCAATGAAGAAAAACCAAAGAGTAAGTTGTCAGAATGAAAAGCAGAGCTTGTGTGCAGAATAGTAAACAATGTTTACATGTTGCTGACATGAAATCTTGTTAAGCACATCTGGTTTAAATGCGTTCTGAATTATTGGATTAATAATTCTAATTGCTTTCTTTAGTAAAAGACCCAGCAAGACCCATTTTACCTCCAAATGACGGCTTTACTTTAAAAATGTAAGTATTTTTTCCCTTTTCAATCTTTTAATCATTCTTTATTTTTTATTTTACAATTTTCAGTTTTCAAATTTTGTCATTTATCCAGTAATGAGATCTAAATCCCATCCCTTCCATTGCACATATTTCTTCGATGAATATGAAGTTTGCGAAGATTTAAATGGGAAACCTAAGAAAAATAAAGTAATTAAAGAGATTAACTTCATAATCTCTGATGGTACAGAGATGAAAAGGATTAAAGCGGCCAATGATTTTGATTTCTGAGAAGCTGGACTCTCACTCAAATTTCCGGTGAAGGAATTTCTTAAAAATAATCTTCCATGGAAAAGAAAAGAAAGCAAAAACTGGGCCAGGCAGCCAAAAATCAAAGACTGCAAGGCTTATCAAATTGAGGAAACTAAAAAGAGAACTGACGATGAACACTTGCTAGATACATTTATAAAGATGATTCTGATCTCGAAGTTAATCTAAACGAATTATATGTGGCTAGAGAATTGTATGATGATCAAATGCTGCATGTTTCCGAGAAAAAAGGCAAAAATACAAACGAGATCTAAATCAATAAATAACTTTTATTTACACAGATAAATCCATCATCATCTATATTTTTTTCTTTAACAGTAAAGTATTCCATAAATAGCAGAAACAATTTCTTGAAATCTTTCATGTGAATCAAACAAGTGATTATGGTCGAACTAACTGATTTTCCGTCTCTGATAACAATCACTATTTTACCAAATAATAAAAAAGTATAGTGATAAGGCCAATTATATGAGAATAAAATCCAATGTCAAACCAAGTCTCGATCACATATTTGGTAGATGTTTGCTGTAAAAATAAAACAAAAAATGTAAACATTTTGTGAAAAATTGAATTAAAACTATTATAAAGTTACCTCTTCTCCTAGATTAAAAGATGATCCTAAGTAGGCAAGATGAAAAATGGCAAGTAGTGAAAATCCTAGGTTGATTATGATAACCCAAAAAGAGTTGTAAGGAGTAAACTTGTGCTTCCGCGTACAGCTTGGATTGTTGGTTACTGGCGATCTGAATAGAGCTTTGAAATGATTTATAAAAACTGAGAAATAATTCACACTAATTCTAGATTCAGTGTCTTCTGTTGTGTAAGAACAGGACTTCGCTTCAATACATGTGTCAATTGCCGAAGCTAGTAAGTGACGAAGCAAACTCTCAATCCAAGTGAGAAGTCCTAGTGTCAGCAAAACACTCCATATCTCGAAACGAAAACCATGAATGAATGAACTGGTCGCATAAGTAATGAAAATTGATGAAGCCCATCCAAATTTGTCTTTGCTAGGTTTGTAGATTCGTTCCTTTAACCATTTATGCATTGGAATATCCCAAGCTATCACAACATCTACCAAAGAGCGAGGAAGTTCAACCATTGAAGGCTTGGCAACAGTAATCTCGGAGCCCCAAAAGTTATGAGCAGATTGGATTAAAAAACATACAAAATAGTGTGAAAGACGAAATTGTAGAGCTGTACAATAAGTTACGAACAATTTTCCAATCATCTGACATACACTTTCTGGCAGATATTGAGTGAAAACATCGACAATCAAATTTTCTCCTGAATTGATGACCATTAAAATTAGGCAATCGGACAATGCAAGAAATATAAATGCTTGGATGAATGATAAGATACTTTGTTTCAAGAAGGAGAAACTAGCATAATGATCGGCAGTGAGATGTAAATTAGGAGGAAAATAGCCACCAAGAGGTAAACTTTGCGGATGAATCAGGTAAGTTATTAATAAATTAAAATGGGGAACACTTTTGTCTTGATCGATCACTATAGTCTTCAATAGAGCTCTCAGTGAAAGTAATTTCATGGATGCAGACATCAAATGAATCCTCAGCCTGATGTTCTTTTCCGAACCAAACTGGTAAAGTAATTCATTAGAGACAATTGCAATGAAGACATAAATCCAAAGTGAATTGTTGACCAAATTTTTTCTAAAATTTAAAAGAGAAATTCCTAGCACAGAATAAATTAAGAATAAAACACTTAGATAAATACTGTCAAAATGATGAAAAATTAAAAATAATCCGCCTAGTAAAATGACAACACGGCTGATTACTTCTTTACGCTCTTTGTCACATAATCTAGTAACAATTTGAAGAGTAACTTTTAACCCAAGATTGACGAGCAAAGTGGTTAGTATTGTTTGATAAAAGATATCTCCAAAACTATGTTTAATGCAATCGAAACAGTCATCTAAAGTAATGTAGTCGTCGTAAACTGAAATATAAATAACGAAAAATCATTATTAATAATAGGCAAGTAAAAACAAATCGACATGATGTGTTCATGATACAATGATAAATTTGTAATTTACTTACATTCGTCAGTCAATGCGTTCTCCATGAAAGCTGATACTGATGTGAGTGATGGTTTCTCGAACACAACTTTTAATGATATCAATCATCGGATTCAATCAGAAATCCAGACTTAAAACAAATTCAATTTGACAATTCAGGGTTGTTTTAGTCTCTCAAAAACTAGAAAAGGCCTATGAAATGTACGGGCGCCATTTGGTTCCATGTTTACATGTAACCCATGGCGACAGTCTATTTACATGTAGGTTGTCATGGGTATAACACTATAAGAATGTTGGAAAAGCCTATTCGTACAAAAAACTTGTACGAATAGTCTCAACGCCTATTCGTACAAATGCGAATTTCAACGCCATCTCTTGTGAAATTCAAACCATTTAAATTAATTAAAAAGGCTAAATTTTCTGTTTTTTTGGACATTAGATCAGTTCGATTTGCAGTTTAACCTTCCACACTCTATGACATTTTCTTACTGGCATTTGACGCTCATTCATTCTCATATTTCTTTTCATATTGAAAATAGCAACTGATATTATTTAATTGTTTAATTCTTTTTTGTGTACCACTGTCAGTCCAGTGGTTAAAGAGTAGGTTTAATTAAACTTAAATTCGGTCAGTTTAGATAGTTCAAAGCTTGATAGGTCATTTTTTATGTCTCTACAACCCAATAGAGTCTAAATTTGAAAGAAACTAATTTTTACCCGTTATTGCCTATTTTTGTAATTTTTGTGCGTAAATGTGATAATTATGTCCCTACTAATCCACAATTTCTCATATCTTAACCTAAATAATCAAGTTTTTGACACTATTCCATAGAGTTTAACAAACGCGCCGTACTTTTAAGGCAAATAAAAGTCTATTCCATATCCAAGGATCAGAATCTTATCAGATATTTTTTTGTACGAATAGGGCTTACCAAGAATGTTGAAGAGATGTTTACATGTTGTTGACATGAAACTTGTGTAGTGCATCTGGTTAAAGTGCCTTCTAATTTATTGGATTACTAATTTAAACTATCCTGCTTCTTGTTACTCAAAGAATTAGTGGATATTTCCCTCTGCACTGCCGGCTTGTTTTACAAATGTAAGTAATCATCTGTTTTTCCTTTGCAATCTCTTTGGTCATTCAATAATTGTTTTTATTTTGAAATTTCAGCTTTCCAAATTTTGTCAACCATTCAGGATGAGTTCTAAGTCGTATCCTCGTCCTATCGATCACAAAGAATACCTTCGAATAAAGTATGGAGCTGGTGAAGATTTAAATGGAAAACCTAAGAAAAGGAGGAAGAAAGAGATTGATGAAATAAGCAAAGAGACTAACTTCAAAATCTTTGATGATGATATTGAGCTGAAAAAGATAAGAAAGAAAAAAGTGATCGATGACTTGGATGTTTATTTCGGCGTCCAAGAAGACAGACCTGTTGTTGAAGATGTCATAGACGAAAGGCCGTTAGCTTTAAAACACAAGGATGGCAAGAATTCTAAGTGGAAGCCTTTGCATGACGATAAAGATGAAGATGAAACTAGTACAGATGTTCCGGTTAAAATGCGATCAGTTGTCGGAGAGAATAAAGCAGATATCAAGAAAAAGAAAGTTAATCATGGATTGACATCAGCTGGAGAGATGAGAGAGGAAAGGAAAAGATTAAAAGAAGAAGAAGCTCGAATGCTTGAAAAGCTGGACCCTCAATTAACTGGTAAAGGAGCTAAATCCGTGTACCGTGATAAAAAAACTGGAAGAGTTAGAGATCTTGAAAAGGAAGCTGCCAGGGAAAAAGAAAAGGAAGCTAAACACGCTGCAGAGAGACAAAAGTTCAAAGAAAAGACTGCAGGACTTAAACAAATCGAGGAGACTAAAAAGAGAATTGAAGATGAAGCAATTGAAATGGAGAAACCACTTGCTAGATATGAAGATGATGCTGATCTCGAAGCTCATTTAAAAGAGTTGTGTGCTAATAGAGAGTTGCATGATGATCCAATGGCTGCATATTTTCGAGAAAAAAAACAGCAAAAAGACAAAGAAGATGAACTTAGCGGTGATAAAAAAAGTAAATTAGTTTACAAAGGATCAGTCCCAGCTCCACCAAATAGATTCAATATTCCTCCAGGTCACCGTTGGGATGGTGTTAATAGGAGTAATGGTTATGAACAAAAGTATTTCGCCAGTTTAGCTGAAAAAGAAGCCATCAAAGAAGAAGCCTATCGATGGTCAACCGAGGATATGTAAATAATGTAAAAACCTTAACTGAATGCTGTAAGCTTACATGGACATGTACAATTCAGCCAGGAGAGAAACAGTCATTTTTATCATAAAATTTTGTCCCAACAACTTTAATCTGAGCCATGCTGACGAAGAACACAACTTTTTTTATTTAATTTATTTTAACATGATGAATTTCGAAAGAAACTGTTTTTCTCTCTGAACCTAAATATTATTTAATGTCCCTCAATGGACATTATATTTTATGAAAAGGGTTTCGATCAGAGCAATTACTTCGCTAATCGCTCGACAAGATCCATAATCTGAGGATCCTTCACCAGAAGGAATTAATTAAACTCAGGTTGTGCAGAATCGTGATCAGTCAAAAGATTCTGGGAACTTAATTTTTGGTTATTTTGGAGGAGGAAGAAGAGTTTAAGCTCTTTTTCGCCTCCACCTAAAAAAATAAAAGCAGATTTTATTCCATTTAGATTTGTGTCCAGCTTTCATTATTTCAATCAATTTTTTTAATTTTAAATTAGTTTTAAATCTCCCTGAAAATTTCCAGAAGTTATCATAATCAAACAATTGCTTTATAATAAGCATACAACCCTCTTCACGCTCAGTTGAGAAAGTTTTCAAGTCAAGGCTTTGCCTTTGTTTCACTCAATTTGAATATCTTAACAACACTACTTAATCAACCGAAACGGCGATGTTCATCGAAGCAATCAAATCTAAATTGTAATGATTGATCAATTGATAAACTGTTACAATTTTGATTAATCACAAAAGTTCATGATTTTGCGAAAAATTAAGAGCCAGTGTTGAGCCGATTTGCATAAAGCTTACGGAAATGGCTGATTTAATGCCTATATCATCTAAATTTTGGTTAATTGTCTATTCATTCAAATTTTGATGGGCGTTATGATCAAAAATAATGAAAAAAGAGAGAAATAGAAAGGAAATGATCGAAAGAAAAAAAGAAAGGAAAGGAAAATGTAGACACTGAAGAAATATCTGATAGTCTCTTAGTAGCAGCAAAACGATTACACATGATAATAAAAGCCGATCAGATTTACAATATTACAATTAACCGTCATTAGCCCTCATCTTCCAAGCTGTTTCTGCTCATCATCTAGTCTTTTTTCCTGTTCTCTTTCTTCTTCTCTGTCTATTTATTCTTCTGGTAGCCTTTTTAAATCACTCTAAGCATCTCTCTCTTTACTCTCACCTGTACTTACTCTTTCCCTGAAAGTCATTTTAGTCATTTTTTAATTATCATTCAATTGTTAATCCAATATACTTTTATTATTTTTGTTTAGTTTAATCTGCAATTAATTCAATTAATTTAAATTCATCAAAATGGTAAGTCTGTATTTCTGTTCTATCTTATTGAATAACTCCAGCAAAGATCTGACCTTTTTCCTTTACCGTTTATCTTCATCTAGTTTTCTATGCTTCTCTCTATGCTTCTACCTTTAAATACATTGATACATTAATACATACGTTGTAATGTTTAGGACCTTGATCGCTCTACTCTTAAATGTTTGTCAATAATTAAGTTAATCTCCTAATTTAGAGCTTAAAATCTCGCCCATCTTGCCAGTTTTCTCATATTTACGATGATCTCTTTTTCCAATCATTCAGAGTATTTTTGTTTCATTAATTACTTTGATAGCTCAGGTTTACTATAGTGATATTTACACTTGTTTCATTTCACTCAGTTTGTCCTTTAAATGACTTCATTCTAATCTACCATCCGAATTACTCTAGCACGCCCATTTGATTATTTACTTAACTTTTATACTAAAAATTGTTATTTTTTTAACCCATTTATTTTCATTCTTTCGTTTTTATTCGATCGCATTTGGATATTGTGCAAAACCATGCGTTGTAAATACTATTGGCTTCGAAATCACCACTTCGATGATGTTCAATTCTATTTTTCTTTGGATCTTTTATTGTCTTCAAGGCTGGGGCTATGGAAAGAGCTGATAAGCTTCCTAAATTAAGGGATGTCGAAAATGAAAAATTATACGGATATGTCCAAGGAGTTTCAGGTTGTGTCGTTATTGCTGAAAAAATGGCTGGTGCTGCTATGTACGAATTGGTCAGAGTTGGTCATGAGGAATTAGTAGGAGAAATTATTCGTCTTGAAACAGATTTAGCAACCATTCAAGTTTATGAAGAAACATGTATGTTTTTATGATCAAATTTTGAAACCATAACAATTTGTTGCCATTTTGAGGCTGCTTTATAACTCATAATACTTTATTTTTTTATTGTTTAGCTGGTGTAACTGTTGGTGATCCAGTTCTCCGAACCGGTAAACCATTATCTGTTGAGCTCGGACCAGGTATTATGGGATCTATTTTTGATGGTATTCAAAGGCCTCTCAAAGATATTCATGATCTTACCCAAAGTATTTACATTCCAAAGGGAGTCAATACACCCTCTTTAAACAGAGACATCAAATGGGACTTTTTCCCTCAATATGTCAGAATTGGTAGTCACATTACCGGTGGTGATGTTTATGGTTATGTTCATGAAAACAGTCTAATCAAGCACAAATTAACACTTCCACCAAAAGCAAAGGGTACCATCACATTCCTCGCTGAACCAGGGACCTATGACATTACAGTAAGTTTTCAATTTATAATGTGTTTCTATATTACTCATTCTTCTTCTTTTTTTATTATTTAGGATGTTATCCTAGAGACCGAGTTTGATGGTGAAAAATCACAGTTCACTATGATGCAAACTTGGCCAGTTCGTCAAACCAGACCGATTACTGAGAAACTTTCTGCTAATCACCCTCTTCTTACTGGTCAAAGAGTACTTGACGCTTTGTTTCCTTGTGTTCAAGGAGGTACAACTGCCATTCCAGGAGCTTTTGGTTGCGGTAAAACTGTCATCTCACAAGCTCTTTCTAAATATTCCAACAGTGATGTTATTGTTTACGTTGGTTGCGGTGAGAGAGGTAATGAAATGGCTGAAGTACTTAGAGATTTCCCTGAGTTGACAGTTGAAATCAATGGAGTTACTGAATCAATTATGAGACGTACAACATTGGTAGCCAATACTTCAAACATGCCTGTCGCAGCTCGAGAGGCTTCTATCTATACTGGAATCACATTATCTGAATATTTCCGTGATATGGGTTACCATGTCTCTATGATGGCTGATTCAACCTCACGTTGGGCTGAAGCTTTGAGAGAAATTTCTGGTCGTTTGGCTGAAATGCCTGCCGATTCTGGTTATCCCGCTTATCTTAGTGCAAGATTAGCCTCTTTCTACGAAAGAGCTGGAAGAGTAAAATGTTTAGGTAATCCAGAAAGAGAAGGAAGTGTAACCATTGTAGGTGCTGTATCACCACCCGGTGGTGACTTCTCCGATCCCGTAACCTCAGCTACTCTGGGTATTGTTCAAGTCTTCTGGGGATTGGATAAGAAACTTGCACAAAGAAAACATTTTCCATCCATTAATTGGAGTTTGTCTTACAGTAAATACACTCGAGCTCTAGATGAATACTATGAAAGAAATTTCCCAGATTTCGTACCTCTTCGTACTAAGGTTTGTTTCCATTATTCCCTAATTTCCTGATCTTGTCATTAATTTACTTTCATTTATCTGTCTTTAGTGTCAACAAATTCTCCAAGAAGAAGAAGATCTTTCAGAAATTGTACAACTTGTTGGTAAAGCTTCACTCGCCGAAGCAGATAAAGTCACATTAGAGATTGCTCGTCTTATCAAAGACGATTTCTTGCAACAAAACAGTTATTCTCCTTATGATAGATTTTGTCCTTTCTGGAAAACATGTGGTATGTTGAAAAACATTATTTCATTTTATGACTTGGCAAAACACGCTATCGAAGCTACCGCTCAAAGTGAGAATCGTATAACATGGTCAATAATTCGTGAAGCTCTTGGTTCAACTATGTATGATTTAAGCTCAATGAAATTCAAGGTAATTGCATCTTTCCAAGTATTTTTATTGAAATTGGCTTTTGTTTACTGAATAAAATGTTTTTTTTATCTCTTTAGGACCCAGTTAAAGATGGTGAAACCAAGATTCGCCGCGAATTCGATGAACTCGCAGAAACAATGCAACAAGCTTTCCGAAGTCTTGAAGATTAAATCTAAACCCAGTCAACTTAAGTTCTACATGTATTTGATGGAAAGAAAACAGAATCACGTTGAAAAATTATCATCAAAGGAGAACAAATATTTAAACCAAAAAATAGCCTTGTTGTCATTGTTTTCAGTTTTACTTTGTGTGCACCTAAAGAAAAAAATGATTGATTGACTGAGCAATAATGGAATGAAATCATGTTTTTGTGTTTCTAACGATAAAATCGTTATCGTTGAAGAAATTTTGAAAATCTAGTATTATAGACCTTCCCTTCTCTCTTCCAACTATCCTTTTCCTTTCTTTTTTGTCACAACTCTTTATGAATTTCATATTTTAAGTCATGGATTTATTGGTTATATATACATTCAAATTCCAGAAAAAAATCATACAAAACACGAATCACAAATGCATGGTATATAAATACTAATTATCCAAGCCATAATCAAGGAAATAAAATGTAATTTAAACAGAATTATTGTTTCAATTTTCTATCAATTTATTTTTCATCATTCGATTTATTGTTGATGCAATTCTAGTCTTATATTGCTCTCACAATCTCATAACTAATTATTAAACTAGAGTGTCTGATGAAATTTACACATGCATCATGTATGAGACACGAGGTTGAATAATTTCCTTAGATTTCAGTTCCAATCAATTTATGAGATGAGTTGAGCATTATTTTTACATCAGTCTAACATTGACTTGCGTTTTGAAGACATTTTTTTCTGACTTACTCAGAACTTGCAAACATTATTCGGTCAAGAGTTCAAATCCAAATCTCTTGTAACATGATTAAGTTAAACAAATAAATACAAGTCAAGACTACATTTATGGTTTAATAATGCAAAAAGTAATTAGTAATCAGTAATTAATAATCAAATGTTAATCTCAGATACGAGAGTATCTTTCTTAATGAGTTTAAGTGAAATGATAAAAGAGCTGACTAGAGATTAATTTTCATACTAAGATAATTATAATAACCCTTAATTATATTCTATATAAAATTAACCAAAATAAGTCGATGATTAAATTATGAATTTTCATTGCATTTGTTTCATGAACATTATTATTTCAACTTAACGAGAAATGCAAAACTCAGCAATCAGTGGCAAGATAACACGAACAATGAAAAAGCACTTTCTATTCAATTGTTGACCTCTACAATTCAAACAAATAGCAATCAAGAAAACTAATCGTCTAAACCTCATCAGGTTTTGATCAAATGATTAAAATTGACAAGATTGTTAACCATCGATATACTCAAATTACAAGTCGATACATCGATAACCAGAGACTTTTAGTGAGGAAAATTATTATTATTTATTGTCGATTAATTTTCAAAAAAATTCTAGAGTAAATATTATGATAATATGAATTCGGTAGTTTAATTGTTAATTGTTAATTCATTTTCTTGGCTAAATCCTCGAAGGGCCTGCGTTGGTTACTTTAGTAACCAGTTTTTGCCACTAGAGAAACTGTTTACCTAGTAACCAATAGCTGAGCGAAAGCATTCTGTCCAGACTTTAACAGAATGATTTTTGTTGCCATTCAATCGTTGAATTCAATGCCTGAATGAGCTTCTCGGGATATCACTTCATTCTTCCAGCTCTTTTTTAGTTTTTTTTACTTTTTGTGTACAAATTGGTGTTTTTTTATTCTATTATTTATGTCTTCTGCTACGCCAAAGAAATCCCCTCTGTTTACTCGTTTAAAGTCATCTGGTAGTGAATCCGCTGATCCTGATGGCGGTGAAGATGCTGCAGATTCAAGGGACAACCTTTTTTACTCGATTAACGAGCGTCCAGTTGAAAACATTCAACTTCCATTTTTCTACAAATCGCATACCATTACTTTGTTAACATCTACATTCATCCCGATAATTTATTTTGCTTTCACTCGTAATACTGAAGAGAGTTTGAGTGACAATATTTGGGCTGGAGTCAAGTTCATCATTTTTTTATCCTTAGTAATAAGTACTCTTGCCTTTCCAAATGGACCATTCACTCGACCTCATCCTGTCATGTGGCGGATGGTTTTTGGCATCAGTGTTCTCTATCTTATGGCTTTAACTTTCATCCTTTTTCAAAATTATGATACTGTCAAATCTATGCTGAACTGGGTTTTCCCTGATCTCGAAGACTTTACAATTGATGGAGAAAAGGTGACCTTTAATTCGTTTATTAATTTGCATGGTTAATTCTTATACTCTAACCTTAATTTTTATACAATAGGAATATGGTATCAATTGTTCCGATGTCTCTATTGAAAGAGTTTGGAGTCATGTGGATGTTTTTGCTTTAGGGCACTTTTTTGGTTGGACTTTGAAAGCCATGTTGATTCGCCATTATGGAATTGCTTGGTTAATCAGTGTTACTTGGGAAATTACTGAGATGACTTTTTCTCATCTATTACCAAATTTCATTGAATGTTGGTGGGATGCTTTAATTCTAGATGTTCTTATCTGCAATGGAGCTGGTATTTGGCTTGGAATGTATATTTGCAGGAAATTAGAAATGAGAAAATATCAATGGGAAAGTATAAAGTGAGTTGATCGGAAGTAAATCGGAAATGAACTATCCTTGCTATTTTAAATGTTTAATTTATACCCCATTAATCGATTTTTTTTGTCTTCTCTTTTTCAATCAGGAATATAAGTTCAACTAAGGGTAAAATCAAACGAGCTGTTCTTCAGTTTACCCCAGAAAGCTGGACCAGCATGAAATGGCTTGATCCTTCTTGTACATACATCAGATACTTAGCAGTCACTCAACTAGTCATTTACTGGCAAATCACCGAACTGAATACTTTTTTTCTCAAACACATATTCGAAATACCTCCTGGTCATCCTTTAAGCATAGGTCGTCTTGCTATTATTGCATTGATTGTTGCACCTAGTCTTCGACAATATTATGTTTACGTTGTCGATGCGCGGTGCAAGCGTGTTGGTAGCCAATGTTGGGTATTTGGGGCCATCATGTTTATTGAATCAATAATCTGTATAAGATTTGGACTTGATTTATTCGCTCAAACTCAGATAAAGAACATAGCTATTTGGATAATTATACAGGTACGTAGCACTAGCACATTATCTTCTAAATTTTGATAATATCTCACCTATTATTTTATTTTTTATCTTTTTTTATTCAGTTTATCCTCAGCATAGTTTTTGTTTCGCTAGGAGTTTGGTGGACCAAGCTAAACAGTCGTAGCCAAGACCATTCATCTAGAAAAGATAGATGATAAATAAATGTCTTGAAGAACAAGTTCAAAATCGTAATCTAATTCTTAATTTTCTGAAGTGTATCTCTTGATGTGTGTTGGTGGACGTATCATCAAAAATTCTCACAACTATTCTAGGAACTCCGAACCAGCCTTTCGCTATCAAAATGCCAAAAAAAAATTAGGCTCAACTAGTTCATAAAAGGTGTAAAAAGTTTTTATCTACATGTAGATAGATGTGCAATCTATTTTTTTGATGATCGTAATAATTGATTGAATAATAACTGTAATAATGCTACAATCAATACAATCAATATTTGACTTAATCTTTTTGACGATCTTGACGATTACTTGGAAAAAAGGCTACATTTTTGATTAATAAATAAATTACATAACGTAATAGATTAATTTGAGAGACTAAAAAATATCAAAGGTGTATGTAGAAACCATCTTTATACAAATGATAATGAAATACTTGTTCTACAAATTCATTATTTTAAGAAACTTTTGAAAAGTATCGAGTTTCATTTAATTTTCGTCTTTGACTTTTGATGGTTTATTATTGCTAATACCATCACCTCCTTCATCAACACTATCGCTGTCACCATCACCATCTTCATCATAATCATCATCACCAGGAACTTCTTCATTCATTTGTTCCAATCTTTCTAATTTCTTTTGCAATTCTTGATCATCTAAATCGGTAACAACTTTAGGTGCTTGTTTAATAGAGAAAATTCCTCCAGCTTTTGTAATTGATTCTTCTATTTCTTTTAAGGCTTTATCTAAAGTTGCTAAACCAAATTCTCTTTCCATAGTGTGAGTTGTAACAACATAAGATGGAGGGGCTATCAAATTAATCTTGATTGGCATCTCTGGTGAACCACAAGCTATTCCTGCACGTAAGGCTGCTTTAACAGCATCAATACCTTCATAGGTACAACAGCCAACATCAATATCAGCTCTAACTTTAACTGCTTGTGGTGTCAATTTTCTTTTAATGTGAGTAACAAGAGCCTCTCGTGTTTTGTCATCAAGATCACATTCATCCAATACTGAAGCATCGTTGACAACAAGCTTGAAATAGTCAAATGCACAGCCTTGTTTCTTGTATTTTTCATCAAAATACCATGCTGTACGCTCATAAAGATCCTCTAATTGATCATCAGTTTGATAACCAAGTATTTCAGCCACATGGCGAAGAATACTATTAACAGCTTTACTTTTGGCAAATTTTTCTTCACATCTAACTATATCCTCAGGTGAAACTCTTCTCTTTGATAAATCAATGTATCCTTTATCTTTGTCAACACGGATAACAACTACACATTCACTTCGTCCAATTCTGATAAGTTTGTTGATTGATCTAATACGACGACGAGAAAGTTCAGAAAGCAGAATCATGCCTTCAATGTTGTTATACTCCAATAAGTCAACGTAAGCACCCATCTCGGCCACTCGACGCACCATGACCATAGCAACATCTTCTACTTCAGGAAATTTTTGTTTATAAAAACGACAATTTAAATTAGGCATCTTAACTTAAATAAAATAAACTATTAATAATCCAAGAGATATTTCAAATTGTAACAACAGTCCGGTCAACAGATAAACAGCTTGTCGCAATGATGTAATTATCGCATTTCCCTATCATAAACAAGGGTTTCAGCTCCATCTTGAGTCTTCGCTTTCAACAAAACAATCCATTCCCTTTTCAAAATTTTTCAACCTAAAACATCACCACATTTAGTTATTATTTCAAATTTAAAAGATCAATCTCCAATGTTAAAATTTAATTTCAAATATACAAAACGCCTTTCGATATCAGTCTGCGAAAATCTATTCTTATCCCAGCATTAACACAAGATCGCATTCGACATAAGAATACTTACCCAGCACTTTGATCACTGATTTAGAGATGTCAGATCTTTTCACCAAAGCAGTAAATCCAAAATCATCAATTATGTACAATTTAAACCAAATCAACATCGGAACAACTTTTCTCCGATCTTTTAAAAAGTACTAATCAGTCTATTAAAAGTGCAATAAATAAAAATGAAAAATGCCATTTGAAGCTCGCGATTCAAATTGCGAGCAGACCATTTGACCAGATGCTTAAGAATTAAATACTTTACTTAACAATTGATACAAATTTAAATTTAATTTTATTCGGTAGTAATTGCAATTGTTCCTAACCAATTATTCCTAAGTCCAAAAAATCAACTTTATTTCCGTGATTTATTCTTGGAGGTTTGCAAATCCAAGTCATTTTCACGATAAAGCTAATAAATTCCATCAATTAATGATAATCAGGATAAAAATATCACACGGGTTACTCATTTACAAATATTTGACCCAAAATATTTAAATTTCAAAAATTCAACAACGATGAAAACTGTTGAGAAAAAAGACTTTTTTTTAAACATTTGCTACACCAGCAAAATCATCTTCTGTCAGTAATGAAAATAAAATGAAACTCATTTCTAGTCTTAATTTTTTATTCCAATTGCTTAAATAATTCCAGAATTCAATGATAACTCCTGGGCTCAAAAACAAGAATCTGTTTCAAGTCAGTTCGGCAAACTCAATACAAAAATATGCCTCAAATAACTTTGAATCACGAATGGATATTGCAGATCTTAGCATTTTCAAACCATACTTTTTCAACCACCTTAAAGTTATTTCAAGTTAAAAATTTATTTCGTTATTGTCTCATGAAAAATTCATATTCCATCACATCTTAATACATATCATTGACAAACTAATGATGATATCATTTGTCCTTTCAATAAGACTAAGGTTCATCTCAGTGCGAAGGAAAATTAAAAGTTAAAATTTAAATATCTTTGCTAAAGCCTCGAGTGATTGACAGTCTTTAACTTGATACCCAATGAATTTATTTTTTCGAAGTTGAGGGTTCGACGTTTCTGTATTCTATGCAATGAGGACTCATTATGGATCATGATTTAGATACAGATGTAAGACTAGAAATTTTAAAAAACGATTTTTTCCACAAAATTTTTAATGGCACAAACTTTGGAAGCTTGAATATTTTAAGCTTGATATCGAACCATTTCACGAAAAAACAAAGCACGCTAAGAAGTAATATTCAATCTAAATTGGAAGAGGATCAAAAGATTGATCATCGTAAAAAGGTCGTGCTTTATTATCGTTCAAATCCGAGTTATGATAGAAATTTTAAAAAAACGATTTTTTCCACAAAATTTATAATGGCACAAACTTTGGAAGCTTGAATATTTTCTTCGAAATCTGATTTTAATAATTCTTCATATTTACCTGAAGAAATAACGATTTAATGAACTGCTATTCGATGACTTTGAATTTTAAATTTCAAAAAATCAAATTTTGAATTCATTCCTAATTTCATACAACATTTAATGCGACTTCATTAATACTTGAATGTAATAAAAAATCAAAATCAACAGAAAAATTAAATTCAAAAAAATGGGAATTGGCTTCGATTTAAAATAAGAGCAATCAAAGGAAAACAAAAAGATTGAAATTAAATGTTATCGGAATTTTTTAATTTTCAGATTCTTTAAAAAATAAAAATTGATATAACGCCAGAAGAAGAAATGTTAAATGTGATTTTAAAGGGAACTGGCTATTAGCTTGATTATACGATATCTCTCAGCAACCTTCCCTAGTGAATAATATTCATCAATATCGATTAATAAATCAATATCGATTAATAATATATAATAGACCCATGGCCAAAACCCGGATAGCTCCTATTATCCTAATTGTAAATAAAATTTGAATCATATGATTGTCAAATTACGAATCAATGGATACATCTTTAATTTGCACAAGAGATATTCCCTTAGACCAATACAAATCCCCTTGAGCTGGAATTTTATTTTTAATTTCAAATCATTTGCTCAAATGGACGGCATTAGCAGTCGTATCCTTAATACTCCGATGCCATAAAATGTACATGAACAAATGGCAAAGTACAAGAAAAATTAAAATGAGAATGAAACAATTATTTAAATTTAAAATCTGTTATTCCTGATGAGTCCAATATAATACCATTCAGGTTTCAAATTATGAAAAAATCTATTATAATTTATTAAACTTAACATATCACAGATCGGACAAACATTATAACAGTTGCACCAGTGCAGCTGCAGACAGTAGTGGGCATTTTTGAGCCACACCGCTATTTTAAAAACCTTGGAAAGGATTAACGAAAGAATTGGAACAAAGATCACTTTTAGTTTTGAAATATTGCGAGTTATTAGTTTACTTTATTAGTTGAGTAGATTGGTTAAAGTTTTAGTTATGGCTAGTTGTATGAATAAATACATGGCTTCCTCTATGTGTAAGTGACTTATCCATGAACCCGAAACCCGCCGAGGGTATAACCTTGGAATAATCTTGATTTCCATGAAAACAGACTTGGTCATTGATTTAGCTTGTTTAAATTTCATATTAAATTTTACTGAAACTGAATAAGTGATGTATCTAGTTCGCTTATCAGTTATTAAACCTAGAGATGAAGGAATCGAGATGAATGGTTCAAGAAGACGACAAGGTATTTTGGAAAAATTTTAATTTATATCAACAGTTAATTTCACCAGCTTTCCAATGATAGTTTCTAAGGTGCTCTTGAATCCTCTGCCATGAAGTGAAAAATTTATCGCTATATTTTTTCTGGTTTAACCCAATATCAGTTATTGAAATTTAAATCCAGATGAGTTAAGGTTTTAGGACAAATAAATTGAAAAAAAGTCATTTTAAACAGCAAATTAGTCTGGTAAAATCTGGTAAAATTTTTTGATATCAGGGTGATATTTCATTGATATAGATATTAAGAGTGTAGATATCGATGTAAATAGGAATCACATTCACTGAAAATTGAATAAGATTTAGGGTTAAACACAGAATGCTAGAAGAAATTTCAAGTTATTCCCATGATTAAGTTAAATATAAATTTTATTCCGTATTTATTCCGGATTTTTTTAAAAAAGCCAATTGTTTCAAACTGGTTCTTAAAAATAAAATTTACAATAAAGCAAGATTGAGATTCGACTTTGACGAGAAGGTTTCGAGAAAAGATCTTTTTTAACCAAATTAATTATTTAAATTTGAATTAAATTTGATAATTCAACTGTATCATTTTATTCATTGAAATGAAAATAGAAGGATTACTTTTTAAAAATGAATGAAGTTGAATCTTAAGTGATTTATTTTGAAACATATTTCAACTTAAAACCAGATTTAAATGAATTTTCAGTTATATCATACACTTTTATACACATTATTGATATAAGATATTTTTGCCGTTTCTGTTTTTCAAGACTCTTTTCGCATCTATACATTAATATCGTTTTGGTATTTTTCTAGCAAAATTTCTTCGAAATAACATTTCCAGGTTAGGACAAAATTCAACATTCAAAAATTTTCCCCTGTAAACATGACTTTACGATTCGGACACCTAACATTAAGCGCTGAATATCCACTTAATCTGGTCGATGATTGTCTTTATGAGAAATTAAAAATGAAACTTGTCTTTTATTATGTGTTTTGACTAGAGGCTTAACTAGTGTCTTGACTGCATCGACCTCTGACTTGTCAAGTGGTTCAACTTCTGACTTGGAAAGGGGTTCGATTTCTGACTTGACTACAGACTCGACTACAGGCTTGGCTAGTGGCTTGGCTAGCGGCTCAACTTCTGACTTGGCAAGTGGTTCGACTGTTGACTTGATAAGGGGTACGATTTCTGAATTAGAAAGAGACTCGACTTCTGACTTGACTACGGGCTCGACTACAGGCTTGGCTAGTGGCCTGCCTAATGCCTTGCCTAGTGGCTTGCGTGGCTTGAAGACACCGAGTGAGTTACTGGTTTCTAACTGGTTACAAACTATTATGGCTGTTGCAATTGAGAGTAAAAACGCACTTAAAATTCCCACGACAATAAAAGTCTTTGAGTAGGATGAAGCACTTGTTGGGCAGTTAATGCAGTGAGTGATTTGCCAAGAGCTTATTTTCAATGTTACATGATTGTGATAAGGATCGTCTGGTGAAAGGTAAACCACAGGTTCACAGGTTAAAGTTGAAACAGAAGTGAATCTAACTTTTGTGCATGGTGTAACCTCTTTTCTGGTTGCATCGAAAATTTCAATTGCTGTAAACTGTTTGTAATAAGAAACGTAATTGTAAAGCAGCAAAGTCAGTATTTGTTGGGAAAAGGAAAAATCGGCTGAAAGAATGATTGGATTTTTGTTTTGGGTGAATGTCCATGTTGAGGAAATATTAAAGTCTGGACTCAATAGAAGGGTAGCATTTACTTGAGTTGCCAGATTAACCGGTGTTAGACCATGAGCTGCTATACACCTGAGATGGGTTTCATTAAAGTAACTACATTTATTTGGAGTCTTTGACTTGCTCGTCACTAAAAGCAATTGCGAAGCAAATAGAGGCGAGAACCCAGAGCCAATAATAGAGATTGGATTCAAGGCACCAGCAAAGGTTGAACCCAAAGTGCCTTCAATGGTTGGCATGGGAAGTACACTAAGCTTCAATGTCTTCCAATCTCTACCTGTCAAAGAGACCACGAAATCAACAATCGTACCATTTACCAAGCCTTGGGTTTGATTAAACTGGGGAACCAGACACTTGAATCGGTGCGCTTTATTCTTGAAACTAACTCTATCACATTTGTATATGTTTGCATATGTCTCTTTGTAGGAAAGGCTTGTTGAATTGATGTGTTTTTCATGTATATTGGCATAGTTGAGTATAACATTGCTTTGTTCCCCCATGAAAACATATTTGGTGTAATCTTCAATCTCTGGATCAATTACTTTTGAAACATTTGCTGTTATTTGGAGATCAACTGTGTTTCCACAATAGATTATCGTTACAAGATCTAAAGGTGAACCGAAAATGAAATTATCAAAAGTTCCTGTTGTACAACTGACCATTGAATTCATAGGATCGATTGTCGTGTAAACTTTATTCAAACAAAATATAGTTGCACCAAGAGAATCGTTAAAAGTGACGTTTAAGTCCTTAATACTAGCAACCTCTGCTTGAAAATAAATTGAAATCTTTTCATTGATTGAAACGAT